GTGCACAAATCCTTTTGTTTAGGTGTGACACTCATTTTGAGTTTTATTGCTTTAAACGCATTTTCAGCCCGAGCACTCGCCAAGTTGAAACAACATAAATGACTCACAATTCTCGAATCAACATGTTGAGGGCGTCTTTGCACGAGCGAAAGGATGTAAAGCACCAAGCAGCTTCTTGTTCAAAGTCGACAATTCACCGTCTGCCTCCCCTGACGCCGCTGTCTTTCGTCCAGGATTGAAAAAAAAAAGACACACACCAAAGGGAGGGGCAGAGACTCCCACTTAGTTTCAGGTAACTCCGTCGTCTTGCTGCGCTCACGTGTCACCGGACAGGAAAAAAAGTCAAATTTCTCTCGCTGACACACACACACACACGCTCGTGTTTTCAAGGAATGTGGTACAATACTTTAAGTATTATTAAATCTAGTTTCAGGTAACTCCGTCGCCTCGCTGCGCTCACGTGTCACCGGACAGGAAAAAAAAGTCAAATTTCTCTCGCTGACACACACGCTCGTGTTTTAAAGGAATGTGGTACAATACTTTAAGTATTATTAAATCTGAAAACGATCATAAGCAAGCGTTCGATTTCAAGTCTCCCACTTGCGAATCGTGTTAAGGTGGCAAATCACCTTAATTTCAAAAATCCCACTTGGACCCACGGTCGTCAAACATAAGCCTTAATGCACAGATGTCAAACACAAAACCTTTTACGTGACCCGTGAAATCAGCAAATAAACATTTTAAACAAATTCTAAGTGGTCAAAATGACATCTTTCCACTTGAAAAATTATAAAATACATTTTGTGCACCAACCCAACAAATGAAAATATATTTTAAAAAAATGTCAATATTACAAGAGCACTGTAATCTTCATATTAGGAATTACATTGGTAAAATGATTAAAGTACTTTAAATTTAATTACCCATTATTTTCAAAAGTCACAAAGAGCCACAAAAGAAGGATGAAAGAGGCATGTGTCTCTGGAGCCATGGGTTGCAGATGGCTGCTTTTGGATTAGCTCCTCTGTGTGAAGAATTGTGATTTTTTTTTTTTTGCGGGGGGGAGGAACTGTTTTTTTTTTGTTTGTTTTGCGGGGGGGGGACTGTGAAAATACTTGCATATATTTTGTAGTATATACATTACATATTTACCTCTTGCAAATGAATAGGTCTCCCTCCCCCGATGCCTTTCGACGGTTGTGCAGTGAGTGATGCACAGGTGAAAGTGGCAACTGGAAGGAAATGGAGGGCTGAAGAGGAAGTACAGAAGGCAGTGAGCAAGTTGCAGCTTCAAGAGGTAGCAGGAAGGGTCCAAGCAGGGTGGACGGGCCACGGTTGGGGTCACCCACCATCGCTGTGGTCCAAAGTGACAAAGAATCAGAATCAGAATCATCTTTATTGGCCAAGTATGTAGAACAACACACAAGGATTTTTTCTCCACGAGAACACGCTGCACTAGTATCATCATAAACAAGGACATGACAAATAAGTAAGGAAGGACATTCCGGAATGTAAGTGTACCGAGGAAGGAGAGGAAGGATCTCATTGTCGCTGAGGTTAACATGGGAGGCTATCGCAAGCCGAGCAATCAGCTAGCCAGACGTGGAAAATGCCACAAGCTTGGCTGAATTTCCTTCTTAGATCATCCTACGACAGCCTACCCAGCACACAATACATCCACCAGTGGTTTGGGACTGAGCAAAACTGGGTCCTCTATTGGACGGTCGGTGCCTCCCTTCATCATTTCTTATCCGGCTGCAGAACATCGTTGACATAGGGTGGGTTTCGGTGGAGGCACGGCCAGCTGCTTAGGAAGCCATGGAGGTGAGGAGGCAAAAAGGCGAATCACGCCAGGCCAACAGGGAAACAACAGAACATTAAGTTCTCCTCCAAGTACAAAGGGGAGACAAGCACACAGCCTGTGGAGGCTGGAAGTGGACCTGCGGTCAGGTCTAGGCCTGTTTCAGGAAGGTAAACGCCTCTCCCATGCATAGCCCACCATGGGCACCGGAGGAGGTACGTCAGGCCTTATGGCCCAACCGGATCAGCAGCTTTCCTGGCGGTACAATATTTATTTTGATTGGTTCTTGTGGTTCTTGTTCTATGGGGTACAGTAAGCATGATCCAACTGCTACAGTAGAGTCCGGTCTAACCTGTTTATCATGAGCTAAGTCACAACCATCGATGTTCTTGAAATAACTTCACCGTGGTGTTAAGTTGTTGCTAATCAGGTTTACCAAGTATATGGGCGGACATTTCTGTGAAATCTTGCCTCCCAGAGTCCCACTGTTCTCAAAAGGTACTTCAACAATGCCCCGAATGTGCGTTTCTTGCATTGAAATGACACACTCTATACAAATTACTCTTTATTCTTTTCAATTATTTTTTTTCATCAAGTTAAAACATGATTTAAAATGACAATGTATTAATGTGATACAAGAATAACATAAAATATACAATGTAAAAAATAAAATAAAAATAATAAAAACCTCCAAACAACTAAGAAGTTCAAATGAAATGAAAATCATTCATAAAAATATTCATGTCAGGGGAGTAAAAAGAAAAGAAAAAAAGCATTACGTCAGATATCGAACAAACATGACATGAAGCACCTGCAGGGAATCTATATGGCACCTTGATTGGCAATCAGCGGACAAACGGTTTATCGATACATCAATCCATCAGTCAGACTGGAAAGTCATTCGTCTAGTAGACTTTGATGAATCACATCAGAAGCGATGAGGTGTTTTAAGGTACACTAGGGAGGGAAAATGCAGATTCATATGCTGCAAATCCTGATTAGGGAGCAAACGGATTTTACCAACCAACTCAACCACTCATTCTTTCAGTTCTCTTTTGAAAACCATAAAGGGTGTAACCAATCGAATATAGTGTGAATAAGGTATGCGACAGTTAACTTAAGACACACCGATCATTTTTGTGCACACTGTGTTTTATGTCGTACAAAAGCTTGTTTGTGGATCAAAGCTGAGCATATATTGAAACAGAATAAGACACAAGAGCCAAGTCTGGCCTGATCAAAAATTGTCCTTTGAAAAACAATGGCTATATTAACGTGAAAAAGAATTCTTCGAAGTTGCTCTCTTATTTCTCTCCCTAAGTATCTGCATCCGCGAGAAGATTCCAAAATTATTTCGATCGTCTCATTCGCATTAACTATAGCACCCGTGCATGCTGGGCAAAAAGCCAGCCGAGAATTCATACATATGATCATGTTAAATATAGCCACTGGCATGTCATTAAGTTTCCATGCATTTATGGACTTACAAAGTCTTCCATCATGCCTCGATGGACATTCTTGAGCTGAGAGACAAGACTCTTATTGTGGCCTGCATATGAACCCAATGTAACGAGCATGCTATGAAATCGAGTCTTCTACGGGCGTTTATAAAAACAACAACAATAAAACAAACAAACAAAAAAAAGTCTGTCTTTCTGTTCCCATATTTTTTCATTTTACATTCTTTGGTGACGTGTACCACCAGCCAGCAGCCGAGCATTGTTCTTGCCACGCACAGGAGCAAAACTATTCGGAAATACACAGCTGAGGTCTATTCTAAGGGGTCTAAAGTGCATGGTGTGCAATTCATGGGAAGCCTCTAACGGTGGCAGAGGCTCGTCTCTCAGCTCAGGCATTAGAAGTTATTTGTGGACGGACGGACAGACGGAGAGGTGGATGGATGGATGGACAGTGACATGGATGGACGTAAAAGATGGAAGGCAGAGGGGTGAGACACATCCTGTGGAGGTCCACTTCTTCCATCATTTGCACAGAGAGGCACTCTTAAGAAGTGCCTCTGTGAGTTCATGCCAGGCAGGACGCGTCGGTTTGGCTCGTCGTTCAAAAACATTTGTAACTTTTCTCAGCCATTTGGATTCTCACGTTTTCCACAGAGGGTGAGTGTGAATGCATTGTTGCTGCCTTTAACACTTGGTTTTACAGTGAGGATGTCTGCAAATGGACAGCAAACCAAGGAAATAGGCAGGCGCTGCTCTTTTTGCTGCATTCTAATGATGGCATTTGAACCCTTTCATGCACCCTGTAACCTGTGAACATGATAAGCTGCCCACTGTAGTAACCGCTCTCCCTAACAGGTTTAAAAAAAAAAAAAAAAAAAAGCACCGTAAAAAATGTAAATGTATGTTGACCGACAGTGTGCTTGCCTGGCATCTCACAGAGGAACTTATTGCTGCTACAGCTAAGCCACGCAAACAAATGACATGGTACTTCACCTCCGCACCACGCCAACCCTGCAGCATCTATTTTCAGGTCTCATTCTCTTAAGCACACCATTTTTTTTTTTTTGGTAACATATATAAGCAACAATGATCTAACAATATCCTGCAAAACGTGTCAAAGACAAAGAGCGAATGTTTAAACGTGGATCTAAGGTGGTGATACAAAGTCTCCAGACTTGGAAGTTTGAACACCAGAGCCAGCAGTCTTGAGTCGCTAACAGGCAGCAAAATCATTTTCATACACTGCATCATGTCAGCATGACTTCATATATTTCCACCATGGATTTGCTACCAATTCTGCTGTCTTTGATTGTTTTTTTTTTTTTCTCATGCCCTCAAGGTGATTTGCAAGAAAAGAATACTTGAGCCATGACATCACTTGACATGGCTATCACATGTAAAAATGAACTCCATCTTTGATGTTGCGTGTGAGCACACCAGTCCTCGAGCCAAAGTCCTCCTGGTTATAGATTTGTGTGGTGGCTTAAAAGCCCAATTCTCATTTAATCTTCTGTTCAATCTGCACACTGGGGCTTTTCCATTTGAGTGTGCTGTTCTACTTCTAATCTCATTTCATGGAAGAACAGGCTGAGCAAAAACAATGCAAAGTATGATTTGAATATAAACGTCAAGAACTGTAACGGGTGGTCTCGTCACAGCGAGTCTTGCTTTGTGTCTGTCTGTTTTACTGCTCACTTCAGTGATGCAATTGTACTACTGGGGAACTTGAAATGGCATGCGTGTGTGTGTGTGTGTGTGTGTGTGTGTGTGTGTGTGTGTGTGTGTGTGTGTGTGTGTGTGTGTGTGTGTGTGTGTGTGTGTGTGTGTATATCCAGTTTCTCACAGTGTACGATGTCAGTGATGGTGAAGCTGTGTGCAGTTGTGCAGGAAACACAGTTGGCCAGTCATGACTGTGTTTGTGAACGTGTGCATGTTCAAACCCAGAGAGGCACCACAGAAACAGTGCAAGAGTTCCTACAAGAGGCAAGTGACCTCCGCGACTCCTGTCTCGTCTCTTTTCTTCTCGTTCCCCCCCGTGTAGTTCGTCAAGTTTATGGAAGTCATCCAAGTGCTTGCTCTGGATCTAGACAAAGGCCTCGATCTTGTTGCCGTTTTCCATCTTGACGAAGATCTTTGGGTCGTCATCGTGCTCGTCTCTGAGACGCTGGAGGTGTCGGCTGTGACACAGCAGGTAGAAGGGCAGGCAAAATCCCAGCATGCTCAGCGACAAAAGGCCCACGTTCACCTGAAGACAAAGAAAGTCGCGACCGTCACTCGCGCCCTTGGATCAACCCTGCCGAGGAGTAAAACAAACCACCCTCCCTACTGATCACCTCATACTGTATTTGTCCATGGACTTGCTTACCCATAAGGGGTCTCCCTCCAGGGGTCCCACCATGGCCATGAATAGAGGCTGCTGGAGCAAGGCGAACAGAGCGCTGATCAGAGACTGCATGCCTGTCAGGCTGCCAAACTGAGAGGACGGGTACCTGTAGGGAAACAACAAGATTATAGTTCAATTGTGAACGGGCTCCAATGTTGAACCGACACTACAAAGGTTGATCATGAACAAATATGCGCTTTTAATTCCTGGGGCCCGAAACGCAGCGGTGTCCAAAATATGAACTGAGGGCCATATAATTGCTTTGAATACCTTTACCTACACTGGCGGATTGGATTTAGTGTGTTTCAATGAATTAAAAGAGAAGAAGGTCAAAGTGGCTTTGCATTTTGGCAGAAAGACTTTGGATACCGCTTGGTAGAAAGTATCGCAGCAATCTAATTTCAGCAGGCATCACGGGATGAACTGTTCATCTTCTGTGGCTTATTTGGCTCTATCTATGGCTCAATTTATACAAAACGATGAAACAGCCTCTACAAGGAGTTTCAAGAGCAGAACTTGAAGAAAAGAATGTACCGTACACCAGACATGACGTGAAATTAGCAGACTATAAGGACTAAGGCCAAAATGTGGAGGTGTGGTTTCTTCTAGGATATCACCATATGCATCACAACACTGAAGGTATCACACACTTACACAGCAGCGTAGAGGCCGCCAACCGCAGAGTGGATGAAGCCCCGTACAATTGTATGCAGGACGAAGGACAAAATCTGGGGAAAAAAAACATTTTCTGTAAACAAGCAGGCCAGTGGTCGCAATAGCTTGCATGTGGAAACTGGCTTTCATTATTGGATCCTATAAACTCCAAACGAATATTGGTCAATATGTATTCAATCCACTAGATGTCGCTAAAACACCATGAAACGTTCTCTCCATCTTTCAGTTTCAACACACTATGCAAGGACACAGACAATATGGACAAACCACTGTCACATCTGGCCAACATGAAAAAAAAGAAGATTTAGACTACAGCCTTGGGTTCCCTCGTTTGTGAGATGAGCTTGGAGAACGTTTGGTTTTTGGATGAGAATGTGACTCACACAAAACTCTTCTGCAAAAGTGTTGGGGTTGAGGTCATGCCTGCCTTTCTAATTCTTTCACACCAAGCTCATCCTCGTGTAGCTTTACGAAAGTGTACTTTCTGCTTTGGGGAACAGCCACATCGGGGAAAACAAAAACAAAAACGCATTCTCCATACGTTCCCAACTGCCTTGATAAGATGTGGAAGGAAGGGAACTTAGGGGGCAGTCCAACCTTTGATTGAGTAACCAAACATTTTGTTGTGCACAGAGCAACAAGTTCATTATGGGACTCTAGCTGTTAGTATTCAGGAAATCACTTCTGTTTATTGTCGTGTTTGCGTGTGTGTACCTGAAGTGGGAGGCTGGGTATGATGCAGGTTACTCCAAAGCACACCAGGAGTAAGTTGGTGAAAATGAAGGCTCGGGTGGAGTTGATTATTTTCTGAATCTTTTTGTCCGGCCGACGAGGCTGGCCAGGCTCCCTGATGGGCAAGAATTAAGCAAGTTCGATTTTTTTTTCTTCACTTTTCTTGTATCATTTCCCGTTACCAAAATGGCATCTCAGTGTGAATCATTTTTATTTACTTTGGTGCCAACTAGATGTATCTTGATTCTATCTCACCTGGCAGTATACTTGTCATTTTCATCCTCGCAGTCTTTCAGTCTCCAGTCCATGACGTAGCCAATCACAGGGGAAGTCGCCAGACACAACAGCTGCAGTACGCCGAAGATGGACGTGTATGTGCTTACTGGAAGACAGACAACGATGATACCCAAGTTATAAATATGTTTTGTGTTGTTAAAGCGTAGTGAAGATTTTTAAGGGAAAAGAGCAGATCTGCTTGACGTCACAGTGACTTTTTAGGTTATGACCAGACGTTGTGTTTTTTCTTTTTTTTTTTTAGTCAGAGGTGATTTCACAGCAGTGGAACAGCAGAGGAAGGCAACTTGAAAAGCACTGGTGTTATTTTTTTTTGTAATGGGCAGCTGATGTCTCTTACCCACTTGCATCCGTTCCACTGCAACAGCAACAGGAAGGCAGCATGACAGGGGAAAAAAAAGGAAAGAGCAAGAGATGCACAGAAGAGGAAACAAGGAAGAGTGTTAACCAGCAGCAACAGATTAGCTGAGTGATAGAGAAGATTGTTAGACGCCACGATGTCAGCATCGACTTGGTCAAGAGGTTAAAACCAAGCATCCAGTGAAAGAAATGAGTGGTTAGACGGTAAAAAGGAGGACCACGCCCAAGCTGTGTGAAAACAAGAGTGCACACACACCCGTGCTGAGCTCTCCCTCGGTCAGCGACTCCAGAATTGTGTTCATCGCCCCCATGTAGAAGATGAGGCGCAGTTGGGTGACGCACATGGTGATGAGGCTCAGGAGGAAGATGGGGCTCAACACGCTCCTCATGAATGTCTGGGCTGCACAGGAAATGACAGAGGAGAGGAGAGCCAGATCACATCTCTGTCATTTAATATCTGGTGGAAGTTTAATATCAAGTTGGACTCAAGTTGCTAGTAATGCGAGTGGAAGATTATGTAGCGCTTCCAAAACAAAAGCTATATTCCATCGTTGTGTCACGCCTCAAAATGCGTTTCGATCAGGCAAAACTTCAAATACCGTACGAGAAAAATAGACATGATGCTTAAACATGCAGTGCATGTTTTTTTTTTAATCACTTGATTGTTGTCACATCCATATTTCCCATTTTTGCCTTATCCTACTGTCTTTGTGTCTACACACAGCCGCGGCTGCTTTACTGCCTCTTGAGAATTCCGAAAAGACCAACACCCGTTGAGTGGATTTGCTAAAAATGGTTTCCAAAATCAATTCCGTGGTCCATTTTGGGACTAAAAAGACCAAATCCAACCGGCCCACCTAGACACCCTGACCCTCAATAAATGTGGGAAAAACCAAAAGGCCTGGGGGTGAGCTGGATTGACTGACGTCGTCTGGATGTTGTGCAATAACCAACGTTAGCTATCAAGTGATGAAGGCCAGAAGTAACAGATAAAGAGAGTAAGAATAATAATAATAATAAGAAGAATAATACTAGCTATACCGTATGGCTTGCACACTTTCAGGGTGCAGCAATTCTCCCGTCCAGACTTTAGACACCCCCATCATGTGTGAACTGGAAATTTGTGGGCAAGCGCCAAAGAGGCGCGATTATGTGAAATCAAAGGTTGGATTTGCCATGAGAGATGTGAAATTCATAGAGATTCCATGGATGGAAAATCTGGCACACTTTAACCTTTTCATGCACGCTGTAACCTGATAACAGGAGAAGCTGTCCACTGTAGTAACGGCTGTCTACGGCTAATTGTGAAATGAACTTGCAGAGTGGATCCAGAAGTTCCATTTATCACTTCCAGTGGTGTGTCTGTGTGGCTCATCTAACAGGCTAGCATGAAGGAGCATTTGTGTTTGCAGCCATTGCTTCAGTAAAAAAGCAGAGCCAGTTGTGGTCTAAGCCTTGCCTCGCAACGCATCATGACAGGCACTCAGGTGCATTACTTCTTTGGATTTCACGACCGGCAAACGAATTTGTGACAAACTGCCCAATTCTGGATTTACCTTCTTCTTGGGACTTGCACGTCACCTGCAGGTCGACGGCGGACAGGCACATCTTGCTGGCGTCCTGGGAAGCGAGGTCTTTGGAAGGCGGCTGTTGCTGCGTTACTGAGTTGCTTACACTCAGACGGCGCCCCACCGTGGTCACCTGCCGGTAAAACTGCTTCCCTGTGATCTTGTGGTCAAATCCCAGCCAGCTGAATTTGATCTTCACTCTGTGGGAGGGGAGGTGTGCCAATAGGAGAATATTAAAGACGATGAGCAATGATACTGTTTGATTGGATCGAGGTAAAGCTTGCAGGAAAGGCAAAAGGAGAAACAATAGATCACGCTAAAAGTCGGATTGGCAGTGGCAGATCAAATTTGCAGCTATGTTGGACTGGAGGATGTATGGCTTGGCTATGGTTCATGTATGCACTGTAGTGTGGCCGCCGTCACTCGGACAGCCGTTCAAATATAAGATGACTCACGATTGTAAAAGGATAATAATAGCTGCTTTCCAGTAGCACGGCAATAAGACCTTTAATCGCATTAACAAATTGGTCTGACATGGATATGGTCAGACAGATTTGGATCTGACCAGACACTAGACGGCACCATTCATCTAAGATAATGTCTTTTGGAGGACAGCTGGAACCACATATCTGCCTTTGAGTGTGTCAGCAAGGGTGTGTGTCATGTTTCGTACGTGAAGTCCATGTCCTCCGGGCCAGGGAAAGGTTCCAGAGGCCAGTTGACGAAGCAGTTGATGAAGAGCAGACAGGCGCAACCGGCCCAAACCAGCAAGATGGAGATGAAGGTAGCACCCAGGTCATAGAGTACCTAAAAGGAGGGAGACGGACATTGGAGCGTTCGTGATTAATGATCACATCTTAAAAAAAAAAATAGGGGGCGCACAATCAAGAACAATTTCCTGATGTATTAGTGTGATTATATTTACAGAAAAAAATGGGGTGTAAGCATAAAATGGAGTAAATTCAGCACACCATTTTTTTTTCAGTGTACAGTCAAACCTTGGTTTTCGAACGTCTCTGTTATCGACCAAATCGTATTTCCACCAGAAAATTCGTGATTTTTACGCCTCTGATTACGACTGAAAACCGGTTTTCGACCAAACTGAGTAAACCCGAATACAGTATGCCACTCGACTCCTCTTGGCTTCCTTACATGAGGAAGTGTGCCACTCGACTCCTCTTGGCTTCCTTACACGCGGAAGTGATGCTTCCTCGTGTAATGTTCATTGTAAGCAGACGTGTTTGTTGTGATTTACACAAATCTGACTGTTTTTTTTGTTATTTCTGCAGAGTGTATTAGCCCCTAATCATAGGCTAATAAAATAGTTTCGGATTTCAAACAAATCGCTTTTCGAACAGCCTTCTGGAACAGATTATAGTCGAAAACCGAGGTCTGACTGTATCTTTAAAAGAGGCTACGCCTCTTGGAATGGGTGCCGGGGATTGTGGGTGACAGCCTTAGTTACCTTAATGCCTGGGAAAGTAACAGCAGAGGAGGCGTACGATCCGATCATCAGGGCAATGAAGGTCGACCTGAGGTCTCCGAACATGTTGGGAAGCTGACAAATAAGCAAGAACAGCAGAAAATATCATGTAGCATCTAAAGGAGGGAGGTGGGGGGAGGGGTACAGAAAAGCTCATAAGAAAATGTGCAGAGGTACATATGACGTTTGTAATTTTTCAGAGCGCCATGTCTTAGTCGAGACAATGAGGAGTTGGGAAATGATCTCATAAAAACAATGGACAATTGGATGAAATCTCCTCGGACCGAAGTGCGGATCAAAGTAAAGCACTACTACTTGAGCATCATCTCAGCTCCGTCGTTATTGCATGAGGAGGCGATTTGCCTTTGAAGTTGAACTTGCTGACTTGAAAGTGACCTATTGTAACCTGTGCCGATTCCTCTGAAAACCACACACGAGAAAACACGCTGGCAAACAACTGCCGCTGCTTAATACTAAAGACCAGTGGAGGGCACGTCCCTATTAAGTATGAGCTGCATAATAAAAAAAATAATCTTGCCGTGTTTTTCTTCTCGCATTTGAATCACAACAGAGACACTCTTTGGCCTTGCATCACGGCTCTCGGCACACGCTGTTCTACATCAAAATACGCTCTATTGTAAACAGCCCTCTTGAATCGAGCAATAACAAACACGTTAAAAGGTTGCGACACATTCCTGCCGGAGCATCGAAGGCGGTTGGACAGGCAGGTACAAGCACGGTCTTCGTGGAAAGACCCTTATGGCAACAAAACCTCTCAACAAACTCTTTCATCATTGTGGTTTATTTTCCATTACGGTTTATCTCATCATATATTACTTTGACAACACTTTGACCATAAATATCCATAAAGCCCTTTCTCTGCTTGATAGGGGGACGAGCCACTCCCGCTGGGATAAGTTACACTACTTTTGGCCCACTTACTGGAGAGAACACGCAAACAAGATGCTCGGCATATGTCCGACTCAGCATATCGGAGGTGGTCAACAGGATTCATCAAGGCCAACACATAGTCACACATCAAGTATGAGTTCCGATATGAAGTGCTCTTGGTTCCTCAATGAGCTGTTTGTCACATCTCGAGCTAGTCTGCCATGTGGTCCGTATTTGGATTGCACAACTGGGACCCACAATGGCCAGAAAAGCGGGGGGAGTTTTTCGAGTGATGTTAGGGGGGTGGGGGGGGCATTAAAAAAAAAAAAAAAAAAAAAGTATGTTAGCTGAAATGAAACGCCCCTGAGGTCGTCCAAATTTTCAGGACAACTATGCCTGTAAATGTCACGCATTTTGTCAAAGGAGAAGACAGGACATTGCGCGAGAGCTCAGAATAGCGCATTTGAGTGGGTATCAGGCGTCAAAGGATTGAGCAGAGTGTGTACTTTATAATAATAATAATAATACATTTAATTTATAAGCGCCTTTCAAGACACTCAAGGACACTTTCTGTTTTGTGAGTGTCTTTTTACTGACACTGATTGCATAGGACCAGTAAGTCTACAGTTTTATCGATGCGTGCTTCTTTTTTCAAATGTGGTTGACTTTTCTTGCACTTCTGTGCCATAAGTAAGGATGTTAGGGGGGAAAAAAAGAGAGAGAGAATCCCTGCACGTGACAAAGATGCCCTTTCACATGTGTACGACAATTGATGAGCATGGTAAAATGTTGCTTTAAAATGTCTACATTGTTTCACAATGGTCATACTTTGACACTGGAACAGATATTCCCCATTTCCTACAGGATAATGATTTGGATATTGGAAGTAAGCCAGCTTCCTGGAATAGATTGCATGTATTGTCATGAAGTCTTTTCAATCTAATAAACAAGAAACATACATACAACTATGCACAAGATATACAGTGATCCCTCACTTATCATAATTAATGGGAACCAGTACCCCCCGCAAAAGGAAAATCCGCGAAGTAGGACATCCATTCCAACTGAGACTATGCAAAACCATATTCACTACATACTTAAAAACAAATTTTTAACCCTTTCATGCACCCTCTAACCTGATAACATGATAAGATGTCAACTGTAGTAACCGCTGTCCCTGAAAGGGTTAATATAAAAACATGGTGAAAAACAGGTCATGATTTAATTTTAAATGTGATTTTTTTTTTTTGGACTATCCTACTTGTTGGCAAAATGAATGTGGGGGAGGGGGGGTGAGTCATTAAAATTACCTAACTCGCGGTGTCCTAATATTTTTGTATGAAGGTAATTCTGACTGACAGCCAGGTGGCACAAAGAAAACTAAATTGGGAAAGAAGGTGCCAAAGTTAGAAAACGATACAATATTCAGTCCCCAACCCGTGCAGATCAAAAGCAACTAGAGTTCATTTCATTTCCAGGAAGTCCTATTGCTACAGGCAGTCATTTCATTAATTGGGCAAAAACAACCAGATCACGAGTGGAGCCGTGTCTGAGCAAAAAAAAAAAAAAAAGAAGAAGGGGGTTTGTTTGTGTTGCAACATGTCCAGACCGGCTTCTACGATACTCCTTGTGATGTGTGGCAGAGCAAGTTTGCCACCACATCTCATTCACGGGCCGGAAAAGAAACGAGGTGGCGCCAAGAGTTTTTTTGGGGTTAGTGGTTGTGCGTCATAGTCAGGTGCTGAGACAGCCATTTCCAAAAATCACATCTCAAACCAACTGGATGTGCTGATCACAAAAAGAAATTGAGATGATGAACTGTAGTGGAGTGTGAGAATAGATTACAGTGGTCCCTCGCTATTCCGCGGTTCGTTTATCGCGGCTTCAGTGCATCGCGGATTTTTTCAAATGTATTCATAATTTTTTTTTTTTTAAAGTCCGCAAAAAGTCCGCAAAAGGTCCGCAAGAAGCAGCAAAAATCAGCAAAACAACAGTGCGTCATATAGAGCAACATATACAGTACTACATGTATATGTTTACTGTATTTTGTTATTCATAAACTAACCTAACTTATACAGCATTAAATCTATTACAGCATTAAGTCATGTTAATTACTTCAAAATTTACTTCTACATGCATGTATACCATTAAATTTGGCCGTATAAATATTATGTACATGTACCTATATGGAGGGAGGGGTTCGCTACTTCGTGGATTTTTGTTTATCGCGGGTGGTTTTGGTCCCCATTAACTGCGATAAACGAGGGATTACTGTATAATACCACAAAATAGTATTTTTTTTTCTCCCCTGAAATAAGAATAAGAATGTCTATTGTCATTGTGTAGTGCGCAATGAAATTGAAGGTGCATTCTCCTAAACTGCTGTAATTAAAAAAAAAAGTATGTTACACTGAAGATTTAAAAAAAAAAAAAGATCTTGTTTAAAAATATTTCATGTCTAAAAGTGCCATGAGGCGCGGTTTGAAAAGTAAAACTTAAGAAAGACAAGTGACAAAGTGCAACAATTTTGCTGCGACTGCCTCGAGAAATGGTGAGCAATACACAAATGCGAGCAGGTCAACACCTGGTCAAGCAGATCACGCATCCCTCCTGTTCTTGGTTTCACATTTCACTTGATTACACTCACGAGTCTCATTTGCAGGACAAATAACTAGCAGAATGTGCAGGTCGCATCCAAATGGCGACAGCGTAGATAAGCGGCGCTGCCCACCCCACCTACTATTGCTGTTGCACCTTCCCTGAATAACTCTTTTGTTAGCTCTGTGGTCAGTGTATCCAAGCAGAGAGTGGAAGTGTACACACTGATGGACTCGCTGTTTGGACAGCCATGTAAGGTCTATATTAGTTCCCCAAAAGGTCACATGCAGATAGGATCACGGTTCGATGGGCGGGTTTGGTTAGCGTCAGGCGCAGATGGACATCGGCTGTCGTAAAAGAGCTCACCTCACCACACAGGTATTTTGAAAAAGCTGCATCCCAACACCAATGGTATTTACTTATCTATTTTGTTATTTCTGTTAAAATTATGAATATCAAGAATGTCCGGAGCAAAAAAAAAACAACTAACAAGCACACATGAATATAAGCATGAGTATGAAGAAAAAAAAGAAGTCTGAAAGCGATGGAAAAATGGGATCAGACATTTTATGAAAGATGTTGAAATGCACTCCCACCTCCACTCTGGGATCGGAACTTATGACATTGTGCAAGCGGCCCGACCGACGGTGTAAGATTGGGACAAGGCTTTCGATGTTTGCAGACATCAGCACATGTTTCGCAACTCTGCTCAAGAGTGAGTGTGCGCTGACGTGTGTTTGACGCGTGCATCGCCGAGTTGACTGTGAAATGACCAAAGAAGCGATGCCTCTAAAGGGCAGCAGGTGGTCTAAAACAGGAAACGAGGAGCAAGGCCTTTTAAGAGGAACGATGAGAGAAACGAAAGAAGGAAGAGGGATTGCTGCAGCAAGTGGAAATTCTGCTGCTTGCCAATGCGCCATTGAGAACCAGCTCGGACCGGTCCAGACCTGACGCGCAGCATACGTCTCCGTTCCACCCATCATAAAGTGCAGCCAAGTGTGTTGGAAGATCAGCAAACAACAGCTGACACACCGCAGCAGACTGGCTTCCACCCCGACATCACGTTTCCCTCCAACGAGGGGGGTCAAACATTTGAACAATGATGTCGGCCCATCCCAGAAGCATGCGAGTTTTCTTTTTCATTCGAAAGGAAAGGGTCGTGCAACAAAGGGCCGCTTTGCAGCCCCTCCAGATCGGCAGGTTGCACAGACCCACGCGCTACGTGACGCGGCCCACACGCGTGCCAAATTCGCACTCATCCACTAAGTCTCATCCGCACGAGGCTGCATATCGGCGACCGCTGCTGCGTCTTGCCAGCTCCCGTCTCAAATTGCCACTCGGCTTTGCAAGCAGACACTCACTTCATCCTTTCTACATATTTCCTTTCATCTGTGCGGCGGTCTGGAAACAAACCACAAACTGTTCTCTCGGTGCAATTCCCCCCCAGCTCCCCCCATCGAGGGGATGGCGCGTGCGTCGGGAAAACTATGATTTGAAAAATTCGATAGAGGCAGAGAAATGCTTCCGAGTGGGGATACCAAACCCGGGAAGCAAGAGGTGCTCCAAAACGTGCCGAGAAATGGAATTCGGGGGAGTTTCACGTACCACACTACACATCCACGAGAATCTATCAGCTGTGTTAAGAGTCGCACAGCAATCGCCCTCATCCAGGACACAGGGAACGGTAAGTGAGCATCGCTCAGATAAAGAGGAGAAACAACAAATGAAAATGCAGACATGCGGTCATAAAGGTCACTCAATGAGGAGTGAGCGGGGGGGATAAGAGCACATGCTGTATTTTTGCGCTCTCCATAACCGTCGAGGTTTGAGGGGCTCTCCCCCTTACGATTAGGAACGAAGAAAACTGATACGCGACATCCGAGCCGTGTGACACAAGCCTGCTTTTCCCCTCCTTGTATTTCCTGGAAACAAATAACCTCGACATGAAGCAATATAAATACAACCAACAGGGAGCAATAACTCACACCGCTGAAAGCTTGGAATGTTGGTTAAACACACATACGTGCCTGTGTATATACTGCGACATGCACATCAGGTCAGTTTTGACAGTTGGAAGCAGGTCCGGCCTTGCTGTAATTGGAGATGGGCAAAAACAACCTCTGACTCAAGAGCGGGGCGAATGAGGAGAAGGCAAAAACTTGCATGGTAACCACCTGAACAGGAGACGGTAAAAAGTGGGTGGGGAGACGCAGACAAGCATATCAACACGCATTCCCATGTTGCGGCTTCCCATTTATCTTCTCGGTAACAAAGTGGAATATGATTGCACAGCCTGTAAAGTAACACTGATGCGAAAATGCCCAAAGGTTGGATGCGCCCTGTCAAATACGATGGATAAGATGCGGTTTGTGCAGGAACTGCTTGCGAGCCTTTGTTCACGCCCCGTTGTACATACTTACAACAACAACTGGCGCGCAACGCAGACTTGCAGAGTTATCAACACACACTGCCATGATGGGATACTGTACGGTGCATCATCTGCTCTTTTGCTGATGAAATAGTCATGAGCCGTCTTTTTCTGGCCACCAGACAGAGCAAGCGAGCAGCGGTGAATAATAGATGACGTGCTTCTCTCTACTCTGGCTCTCACGTGGCCTCTCCTGTGATGCAGCACTTTTATCTCACTGATGGGTTCACCCTGACCGCGCTGGCTTTACTGATCCACTCCAATCCTTCCATTTGCTTCCGTATCCACACGACCACTCAGAGTGAACGCAGACGTTGCCCAATGTATCAATCTTAGTGGAACCCACAGAACGCACAGCCATTAGCTCTGCACCGCCATTTCTCAAGAATAACAGGCATTCATTTGCAAAAATAACAATAATAATAATTATACAATTAAAAAGCATTCAAAATCAAGGGGGTGTATGATAAAACAGTTGAGGGAAAAACAAAAATTTGTCATACTGGAAAGGCGCTGCGAAAAAAAAGTGTACTTTCATTCAAATATGATCTTTCATTTATATATAAATGTGGTAGTTTTGATCATCCCACTGACAAAACTGAGGACCGATGAGTACAAAGTATGCTCAAAATGTGTGTTTATGGCATTCCGGGTTTCCAGGTCACTTCCTCGGCCAGTTGGAGCCTCGACTAGTTTCAAGACGTGCCACTAAATCACAATTGCCCTTGGTTGTCTGTTGTTTGCTATTAATTGTTTTATTTTTTGTTCATATTTATATATTTATGTCTTTATGTATTTTTATGTAGCTCACTTTGCTGCCCTTATTTTTAGCTGTGTGTGTTTCAATGTACTGCATGTTTGCACTGTATGTTGCACATAGAGCATTTTTGACAATAAAGCTTGACTTGACTAAAAAAATCATTTTCGCTACTAACCCTGAATCTCAGAGCATCACAAATGCCAACAGTTGATAGCTGTTAGCATATCATATTTGTTGCTACTGCATCCGTTCGACCGAGCATGGCATCGGATTTCGCGCTTTAGATTATTAGACAGCAGAAACTCTCATCTGTGATTTTTTTAATGCAACTTGTTTCATGTTTCGCAAACGAGACAGAAATCAAAAGTCTACCGCACCATGATGCTAAGTAGCACCATGGTGCCTGTGCTTGGACTTCGTCTGCCCTCGGGAACTCAAATCGAGCAAAACATTCTTGGGTCTACGACTTAGTTAGCTAACACCTTCCTCGCTTCCCAACCAACACTTTTTATTGCCCTGTTGTTGTTGTTGTTTGACTTTTGGCTTAGTCACTTTTAGTCATGGGCGAGTTCAGACTAATCGACAACACAAATTACTAGTCGGATAACAATTGAGGTTTTTTTGAGCATCGATACCATGGGCACTGCATTATAACATTCAATGGCCGATACCCCCAAACCTTGCGGCTGAGCCGAAGCTCATGACACTGGGTCGCTGAGCAAAACGCGGTAAATCCATTCCCAGTCCCCAAAGCTTGACTGCAGCAACAAATTTCCACCAGTAGAGGGTGTTAACGGACTGCAAAATATTTGAATACGAGTCACCCATCGACGTAGTCTACCAATGTCTGAGTGGAAATTGGCCAAGGATAGGGCAACTGCGTATATTCAAGGCAGAGATTCTGTGTTGACCTGTTTTTGTAGCCAATTTATCTGAGTTCTATTATTATTTTTTTTTTTTACACCAGCCCAACAGAGTAGGTAACCACCTGCAAATCAGGGCTGCGTCGTGTTCATGAGTACAAAGAAAAATTCAATTCTGAAGGGTTGTTTTAAAGGTGCCGTATTATATTGGGCCGTGTGTTGTCACTTCTTTGAGGTAGAGGAATAGTAAACCACTATACAAAATGTTTGTCAGATAAATGTCGCCATGCTGATGAAAACATAAGGTCCTTGGTCGGGGCAAAATTAAGCTGGTGTTTTGGGACATTTTGCTTTGACTTCATGACCTGGCCAATCATCTCGGCATTTTCATGACCGTCTGTGATTAAGAAACCATAGCAGTGCTCTTACCGTCAGAGAGGTGAAAGTCATGCACATGCCTCCGAATCCATTCATGGCCAAGGCAAAGAAGATCAGGATGGACAGATCTATAGGACAAAGCAGATTAGTGGACCAGACAGACACAGTGTCATCAGAGCAGGCTCATGTCAACTGTCAAATGTCAAATATAATGTACGAGGGTTGGCAGAAGCGGTTGGACGTACTGTTGGGATCGCTGGCTCCATAGGCGATGAGGAGGCAGGAGAAGGCAAAGCAGGCGCTGGAAACACAAAGTCACTGCGTGTGAACATGTAAAATAGACACACTCGATATAGACCAGGTCACGTCTCGGCTCTCACCTGCCCAGAAGTCGCAGCTTCCGCGGCCCATATTTGTCCATGACGATGCCCATGGGCAGGGTGATGGCGGACAGCAGGAAGGAACCCACAGTGAAGGCCAGGTTCAGCATCTCATCCTGGTCCTTGCAGATTTGCCAGCCGTTCATCTCCAGGTACTCCTCGGCGTCGGACACCTCAGCGTCAGACGTGTTGGAGAGACTGAAGTTGGAGCTGTTGTTGTCTGGATGGAGAGAAAATAACAAGAAATGAAGGGGGCGCGTGCCACTGAGACATCTGAACGCATATGTCACTCAATACACCTGTGAATACTTCGTCATTTTTGGAAGTAAAAAAAAAAAAAAAGAATTGTCATCCTTTTATCATTTCACTCTTCTCTCATCATGCATTTGTTATCTTATATTATAATGATTAGAACATTCTCCCTCCCTCTCTTGAAATCTGAGCTACTGATCAAATATGCCAAGTGATCCAACGGTCACGTAAACAAACAGTCGGTTAACAACACATTCCGAATCAACAAGCTCCCAGAATGGTAAAGCGCTGCCTGCCCGGCCTCCTTCTTCTCAGTAGCGGAATCAACACTCAACACGTGCACTCTATTTTTGTTCATCTGCCCTACTGGACTGCATCAACAGACCGGTGCGCCACCCAGGGAGGGCTGACATCGAAAAGCAACTCGTTCACCTCTGTCTGCTTGGGCTCAAACTGTCAGGAAAACAAAACACAAGGACTCAGCAGTTTGTACTTTTATCGCCATGAGAGACGGAGGAAAAAAATGACTTCGTCATCAGTGTTTTCCTCATATTCATGCTGAGGGCATGTTGTCAAGTGCAGCCACAGCCAAGTCCATGTGGTTTTTATGATTCGCAGAAAAGAAAAAAAAAAGAACTAGCTGAAAAATATTCATGCTGTATTTTAAAAATGAACTGCACTTATTTTCATCCATTTTCCATTCCACTTGCCCTCATAAGGATGATGCACACACTTTATGCAAATTACTTTTAAATTAAGTAGTTTTAATTGGTTTTTAGAGCATTGATTTTTTTTTTTTTTTTTTTTGGCCACATATATAGGGACGTACCGGGACCAAAACTTCTTCCGATTCTTCCACACGACACTCAACCCACCAAAATTAAGATATTTACAATAAACCCCGAAAACCCATCTATGGAATTAATTGAAATCGACTAAAACGAAGGACATTTTTGCTATATCCATATTGTAGTTTTATAAATGTAAAATGCACTTTCAGTTAGTTACTATTACAGAAGTATAAAATCAGTCTTGTTTTTATTTTATTTCATTCATGAAAATGTTTTGCGCGGCACATTGTGGTAGGTTTGATTCAGGCTCCGGCCTTCCCGTGTGAAGTATGCATGTCCTACCCATGCCTGCGTGGGTTTTCTCCGGGTACTCCGGTTTGCTCCCATGTTCCAAAAACATGCACGGCAGGCTGACTAAACGCGCTATATTTGTCTCGAGATGTGATTGTGAGAGCGAAGGCTTTTTTGTCTGTGTGCCCTGCGATTGGCTGGCAAACAGTTCAGGTGTACCCTACCTGCTACCCCAAGACGGCTGGGATAGGCTCCAGTACGCCCGCGACCCTCGTGAGGATCAGCGGGTTCGAAGATGGATGGATGGATGGATGGATGGATACCTATAATTTTCGTTTTTTTTTGTTTGCTTTTGTTAACTACAATAAGCTTGCACCAAATCAGTAAAAAAATGAATATGCTTGCTAATTTTTTTCTTTAAAATATGACAGAGGCATGTACTATTAAGCTAACGATATGTGCAAAATGTGGGCACAATAATTGTTTGAGAAAATAATTTCACTTGTGAAGCTATTGTAGCGCCAGTGGGATGTTTTTATTTTTATGATGTTTTAATCTGCCCACTGAGATGAAATTTCATATCCAAGTAAAAGCATTCATGCTCCCCGCCCCCCTTTTTTTAAATTAATTATTTTTTTATTTAAGACGACTGGAATCCTCTTGGAATAGTCTGGTAAATGTGGCTTGTACGTTATGTGGTTTTACACCCTCATTTATATGACACTACCACAAGTTGTAGAATAGCTCGTGAAGAGGTACTTTGCACTGATAGATACAGTTGTTTTATTTATTTATTTATTTTAAGTGTATCTTCTGAATTAGAAACCTATGAAAATGAAATCCTTATTTTTGCACAATATCCACATTTCGGTTTTTTTCTTTATTTGAGCTCCTTTCAGTGCTCATTAAAAATAACACCCCAAAACCAAAAAAAAATTTTTAAAAATGCTGACTCACAAAAAGCTCTGTATGTCATAATTGTATGTGTCTGATGAGCAAACGTTTGGTCTACAAAGTAGGATGCTGACAGGGTGAGGTAAAAGATGTGTGCAGTGTTGCCTCCTCTGCGAGATTGTGACGTGTCAGCTGTCAAATCAACAAGAAGCAGCACTATTTTCCCCGCACGGCATCTGCATACTCAAGTGACTGCAGTGATTCAATAGCCCTGAACACCCCCCCCCTCCCCATCTCTCACACACACACACACACACACACACACACACACACACACACACACACACACACACACACACACACACACACACACACTTTGGAGTTTGAGTGTGGGAGGTCAGTGTTGAGCTGACATCCTTTAAGGAAGTTTCTAAGCCATAAAAAGGAAATTCCATCTGACAGTTTTGCCACTCAGACATATCCTTTCGACCTGAATTCTACAATGCAACTTCCAAAGTCAAACAGTTCATTCCATGACACGTTTAATTTCAAGACCAATCAGCTGTACAGACTTTGTCTTAAATCGCAATTTCACATTTTTCGCTGTCGTACAAGTTAAAATGGTAACGACCTTTAGGTTGTTCACCTTCGGGGGCTTCACTGTACGAGGATCCTATCCAATGTGGTTTAATGATTACCATCAAACAGAACGTCAGTGGATTCAATCAATGGAAGTGAAATATACGCATGCCTTTTAGTGGCTGCCAAAATAAAAGGCACTTGATCATTTCCAAAAAGAGACTTGGCCTCGCGCGATTAGCATCTGAGTATCCGAACACTTGTGCAAATGTGACAGACTTAAATGGGCAAACCTTGCAAACCACGAACAGTTTCGATGGTAACATGATACACAAGTGACTCTCACTTCCCTTTGTGTCTCTCTGGGGCTTGGGGAACTTGTATAAGGTGTCAGCATTTAGCCAAATTCTAAGGAGGACAACAATGACAGTGACTATAGTGCAAGGAGAGATAAGCAGTGGTGCTTCTTCCTGACCTAATTATTTTGTCAACCGCAAAACAATTAAAGGCTGCGGGGAAGGTCAAAGGGGTAACAAAGGTCCTATAAGAATGAATAATCCATACAGGTTGATCACTTGATTATTTGAATATAATCTATTCAAATATGTCAATGAATCATGATTGTGCATGTGAAGACAAAGCCACTGGCGTGATTTTTTTTTTTTTTTTTTTTTTTTTACACAGTGATGACAATGTGCAATCTCTCACTCAAACCCATAGGCACAAATGAGCCCCCAAGCACAGCTTTCATCACTTCCCCTACAAAGCCAGAAACAAGGCTGCTTTAATGAAAGGCCTGATTCAGTGTAACTTCAGCTATTAACTGCCCCGCAAAGCAAGCAACTCCCAAATGTCTGCAGACGATGAATCACTCCTGCAGCCTGTTGTTGGCTTACTTTATCTGACCTACATTACTGCATGGTACAATGAACAGCAAACACATATTTTTATATTCAGGAGGTCTCCCCCACCCCACACACGTGACCATGGTGGGCCAAGGACAGAATCTGCCAAAAGGCTAATCTGAGCCAACTGTAGTTTTATTGTTGCAGCGCAGACTGAAGCTTTTGAAATTTTGAGCTTAGTCATCACAAGTTGTTTTGCCCAAAGGATCCTCAACTTTCTTTTCCATTTGAACTGGTGTGCTTGCTGAAAACAACCACTCCGTCATTGTGTGTGCTTTTTAATCACGAGATTTCAAAACTCCTCCTCAGCATAAACACCACTCAGTGGGTCTCAAAAGACACCCGAGGTGTGGTCACACATCCTATTCATCACAGTGCAAATCAAAGGAAGACAAAGAGAAGATCAACTAGTAAAACATTGTGAGGTACAAAGGCTGATAAGCATTTGTGTCATCCTTCGCATGACAAAGGTCACAAATGATATTCAAATAATTGTGTTTGGGGTTCACTAGTGCTGCTTTCGAGAGTTCCGATTGACTTTGCTGAGGAACTCACGTACATCAGACAATAACAACAGCAGCTAGAGTAAAGCTCAAAGTGAAAGGCAATTCATTCTATGATGCCGTTTGACTTAATGTTCAAATTTCAATTCAGTTTTCACTTTTCCCTATATTTATTTGTGCCGGGCTAAAACTGTTGCCATCATAAAACCTTTATTACCAAATGTGCAGGCATTATTATATTTTATTTGAATTATCGCTGATGTCCTGAGCAGCCAGTCACACATGCTAATGATTGGAACGGACACATTTTGTTTAACTTTTGAGTCATATTTAAAAAAATAAATGTTTTGATATCCACTCTTGACTTTGGTTCACGATGTTGAAATAATGCTGAAACTTTGGTACTTTCTGTCATACAAAATTAACTCACCTGGTGCTTTGCACAGGTAGGAATAGAAGCCCTCTGACTTGAGCATGATGAGCAGGGATCCCCAGCCCAGGAGCACAGCAGAGAAAAGCAGGTTTTCGATGACCGCCGTCACCGCCATCCACCAACGGCGGCTGAAAGCCGTGGCCAAGGTAGGAGCCATCTCGACTGAGAGGAGGAGAGCGGTGGAATGCTTCACTCGTGTGACAGGAGAGATGGAAGGTAGGCTATAGTCGCCTGGATGATGAAAAAAAAGGGAGAAGGGTGTTTGGGGGAATTAAAATGAATTAAGTTGAATGTTGTTGATTTATTGAGCTTCTTACTTCAATAAAAGAAATAGATAATTTAACCACAACACAAAATTGGATAATTTGCTCACTGAATATTAAATAACAGTGATGGTGCAAGGCTTGTAGTGGCAATTGATGGAAAGTTTTTACCTTGGAAAAACTTTAAAAAACATCAGTTCTAAGAGGCCGTGGGACACAATCGTACAGGCGCTTTGAGAAAATGGCAGTGACTCATCCTGGTGCTTTTGTTCCTTCTTGAAGCTGATGTACAGACTCGACTCACAAAAAACAGCTGAGCACCGTGGGCGGGTCAACCCCCAGTTCACGCACTGAAAGACGCCCCGCCCTTGAGACATCTGATTGGAGCGTGGGGAAAATAGCTCTTCGACTACTGGCTGCTAATGACATAGGAATCGGAGCAGCTGCACGTGAGGATGCTGCATTCAGCTTGTACGGAGGACAAATGGTTCTGAGAGGAACCCTTCCCAGAAGTGGTTTTACTTAAACACAAAAAAAACAAGTATCGTCGATAAAATGCAACAGCTCAAATGACCCAATGTAATAGGATTTTAAAAGACTGTTGGAATTTTCAAGTTGACAACATCCTGATAAGTGACAACTGACAGTTGTATTTTGATGACTGATTCCCCGCAACGAGAAGTTAATATTTAAAACTGATTGAGTAGATATATAAGCTTTAAACTGAAAGATATTTAAACTTAGGCGTGTTTTGCGCAAAGACAGTTTTCAATTTAGAGACTCAATTGTTGGCTTTCGAAAAAGCGACAGTACTTGAATGCAGCACCAGCTCTATCCGGTTCGAACCAGCACGGCGCGAGATTGTTTTTCAGGGGCTTGAAATGGACATCATGTCCTAATTTGTATGGCATGTACGGGACGCAAACAAACACAAAACGAGGGCATTGTGTGCGTCCAAACAAGATAAACATGACAACAAGAATGCGACATTTTAAACCAAATCGCATACGTTTCGCTTGTCTTGCTAAAAATTGTGTCTTTACTAAGCAAACAAAAAATACAGTAGTCGACTCACACATTTGTACACGTACAATACATTGCCTATTGTTACATTTTCTTCTGTTTTTGTTTTGCATACACGTAACTTCTATTAGTCATCACTTAGGTAGCGCCGCGCCTGTACAAGATGTTTTTAAGATGTGTTGTAACAAATCGAAGCAAGTCAGCACCTCATCATCATCATCACGACGACGACAATAAAGACAGAGTCAGAACGCCAAAACTGGTCTGAACTGGACTGCCTATCACCACACGCTCACACACACACACGCACACTCACACGCACGTACACGCTCACACTCGCGCACGCACACGCACAGCATATGCGTCTCAAGCGCCCCGCTAAAAGAATGTCTCGGTGTCCGGTGATCCAGCACATCATTTTTCCGGTTACAAAATAAAAGACAGTTTCTCCATTTAATTACAACTCTATACACTACAGTATCCCTAATGAAATATCGTTTATATTCATCTGTTAAACACACACACAAAAACATACACACACGGGTATTGGATGACGCCACTAAATGTAACTATAATTTTCAATTTTCGCAATTTTTTTAGCTTTTATTTTGGTCAGTATATTATCATCCGGAACTGAACTAGGTGATCTTGGGGATCTTTATCTCCAATACACTACTAAGTAACGCTCAGCTGTTTGGAACAACAACTGTAAAGGAAAAGTAGTAAACGTTGCCGAACGGGGGGTGGGGGGGGCGTGAATGAAGCGGACTGCTATTCTACGCTGTAGCATTTACTATGTTCGACTGTCAGAAAATAATGACGATATAAAGGGCGAACAAGACTAAAGCTTATTTCTCAAGATAATGTAAATAATAGTGTCCTTCGCCATATATCAAACAATACGAGGCTTGGTGTAATTTAAATTATCTGTCACATTTTTATATAATAATTGAGTGGATGGTGGCGAAAATAGCCAAACTCTGTTTCAGCCTCTTCTCTAGTCAGATGCGGTGAGTGAGTCAGAGCATCCTCGGCTGCGGCGGCCCACCTGAGTGTGCGCGGCTTCAGGGACAAAGGCACCTCAGTGTTCAGTCCAATCCGCCTCTTCGCGTCCAGACGTCCGTCGACAAGCCGGTTGAGGTCAAAGTCGTCTCGTAGCACGTGCGTCGTCGTTCTTTTAGTGAGTTTCTCCATTCCCTTGTCATTGTCGACATTATATAGCGGCCGCAGCGCCGATGCACAAACATCGTGGCCTTCTCATTGGTGGAGGCTTCAGCCAATCAGAGCGCGCCAGGGCCGAACGTGCTTTGAGTCTCAGCTGTAGTGTTGCTAGAATAAGACGTTTTAGTAAACACCACTTGATCGCTCATAAGAGAATCGTTTTTACACAGGTATTACTGCATACAAACCGCACGTTATTGTAACGTAATCGTTATACTACTTTCTGAGGGTAGGGGGGAAATAAGAGACAAGAAACATTACCTTTTCAGGTTCGTTGATCTATACTTATTTTCTGCAAATGCATGCTCTACATAACTCTATTGGTGAGTTACGTTGCCAATAGCTGATCGAGGAAACAAATGCAATTTTTTCACGCAAGCCGACCTAAAAATGGCGAAAATCAGAGAAAGAGATCATTTGGCTCTTCATTTTCTCCAGAGCTGTGATGATGAGGCCATATGAATGTGTGAGATAATGAAACAAAGTTGCTCTATTCAAAGCAACTCAAAGCAGTATCTCCATCAAACAAGTCTTACCGGTGCTTAAGAATTAGCTGTTACGCTTGTATTAATGTCGATGTTTTATGTGATGTGTTCTGTTATATTATTATTTTATGTTAAATGTTCTGTAAAGCGCTTTGTTGCAGCCGCAGCTGTTTTGAAAGAGCCATGTGAAAGATGTATTAGACGTAATACCATGCCTATAAATTGCCTGGAGGTTAATCAACTTCTATCACATTAGGAATATAAAATAGACACATGAGCACTTCTACAAGACAGACAGACCGACAGACATACCATTCGACACTAGCTATCAATGCCAGAAATCAGGGAAAGTGATAATTTGGCAGTTGTCTCGTCATTTTCTCCAGAGCTGTGATTATGACGTCATTAAACGTGGAAAAACAATGTGACAAAGTTGCACCTCAAGTTTATTCGAAGCATCTTAAAACAGTCCCTTCGTCTATTAGGCACAATCCCAATGTTTATATTTTTAGGTGAACTGGAGGTTAACGAACTTTTATCACATTAGGAATGTAAAATAGGCACACGAGCACTTGCACGTGCACGTGTGTTATAAACGGACTCACGTTTGACTCGAAATGTCACACCAAAGTTGAACTTCTAAGAAGGATGTGAATGTCGATGCTTTGCCAGTCTGGAGAAACTCTTGTAGGGCGACACTTAGCGGCCATTTCAATCCATTGCTGTAGCCACTTGTAAATAGTATTGGACACAGGTGGGCTCGAGCCTTTTCCTGCTGAATTCCGGCGAGATACATCATAACCAATCCACCACCATCCTGCCGCAGTAACATTAGTGGGCTAAAATTTCACCTTACTGATAAAACAAAAAAAGTATAATTGGAGTAGTAGAAATATTGAAAGCTGCATTTTGTTTTGGCGTCTGTCATTTCACATGTTGTAAATAATGGCTGTAATAAAATCACAAGACTCTGTTAGAAATGGAGAGGGAGAGCTAGAATTCTTGTGGTATCTGCTGGGGAGACAACTATACTATTTTATAGGAACGCAGAACAGTTCTGCGATGATTTACACACAATCTAGGTTCATGTCAAGGTTCCTGAGGAATTTGAAAGCTCACGTTCTAACCATGGAAAAAAATCCAGTGTAAAAATGACCCTTCCTTTCCAAAAATGCGAAAGCTAACAACAAGAGACAGACATACAATCACACTAATGGAGAATTCCAGTTTCACTACTCATCCATCCGATTTGTTGGCCAAAAATGGCACATGCGTGCACGCATGGATAAAAACAGGATGATTTAATAACGAAAGCGACATATTTTTCTGCACATGTCAAATTTATTCAACGCATCTTTAGTATCGTATGTTTCATAGTATGCTGTCATAATTATACATTAGTTTGGATCATACAGTAATACAGCTGACAAAAAGGTGTATCTTAAAAAAACATTAGGATTTGGTATCAATAAAGCTGTTACACAAGCCTTTTTTTTTGTCAAGCAGTGAAACAACAATCAAATATTGCTCTGTTAGACTTAACAGACAAGGTCGTATGATCTCACGAGTCTCTTAATATTGCTAAGCAACAAGGCACATTCAACTATTGTACATGTTTTGTCTCCCAAAATGTTTTACATCCTCAAACTTGCCTTGGACATCCCATTTATAGCAGAACACAAACTGTACAAGTGTCTCCCTCCGGAAATCAAATAAAATCAGATCAAAACAAACAAAAACTATTCAAAAATTATACAACTGATAATGATCAGAAATCTAATGGTTCTTTGGCTTTTAAGTGAAGCAGCAGTCTTGGCATATTGCACCCGTCTTGGAGTGAAGTCTGCAAAAATAATAACCCTTGGGAAACATTTTGAGGACTTTCTCAAACTGAGCATTAGGTCCAAACCTTTTCATAGGCAATCAGGTTTTGGCTGGCTTTCAATTACACGTCAATTTTCAAAACTGCTCGATTATAGGAGCTGCTGCGTGTATATAAGAACATTTACTGAATATGAGTCTGAATATGATTTAAATGCTACTTTACAGGCCCCAGTATGGGACCTCACCCCTTTCCCAAATTTGACAGACTATTTTAAAATTACGGTGACATTGGGTGAAATTAAGTAAAAAGTACAATATCTTAGAAAGAACGTAAAGAAAAGAACAATCAATTTATAAAATGTCATTTTGTTTGAAATCCCCGTTTCATTCATTGTTTTGTTGTTTTTTTTTTTTTTACAAAAGACAAACCATGACATATTTCATCAAAGTCAGGGCCTGTTTACAGTTAAGAGTCAATATGATTTATACCCAGTATACATTGGAAGTGATGTTTCGTTAATGGATGTGTCTTTCTGGCTAGAAATATTGCAAGTGTCAACAAAGACTGACAAGTTGAGAGGCATCTGAACCCAAACGGCCTGCATGGAAGTCAATCAAGTTTTATTAGAGATAATGAATTATATTTGTCTTTGTCATACTATTCATACACCTGATGATTTTTGAGGAAACATTATTTTTTATTAACCTTCGATAGAATCTTGATGATTTTTAGCAAAATCTAAAGCATTCGACTTTCCCGACTTAAAGAAGAGAATGAATATTTATTGACACAGAATTTTGTGTTGAAAATTTTTACTTGGCATGGGCTGATTAGCGGTTTAAAAGTCAAGGTTTCAACAACCATTAAAACTGCCTGTCACCAGTTATGAGCTTTTCTTTTCTTTGAGGCAACTCCAAAGCAGGCAATATCTCGCTGCAATATGATCAGCTGCTTGCAGAGTTCACTAAGCAAGCCACATGGTCAAAGTTAATTACGTGAGGCCAGACGCTTTTTCTCCCCCTCCTTCTCAGCTGAGCACAGAGGGGAGGGGTGAGCAGAGCACACCATAGAGAGCAACTGTGCCAACTCCAGCATACAGACACGGATGCCTTTTTGCTCTTGCGATTAATATGCATTGTCATGAAAAAAATCAACACATGGTGCCAACGGGTTCTAATAAGCCCCCAAGGACAACATGAGTAGCCTAGAGGTCTGTTCTAAAAACAGCTTACCAGTGATGGGACACTGTGACTTACTAAGAAGAACTAAAACAGATTAAGAAAGTTAATATTTCTTTCTTCTTTCATTTATTATAACTTAACATGGTACGTGTTTCTTAATGTCCAACAAATATCAGGGATGAGAATGACAGCTGAGAAAAAAAGTCAGAATAACTTACTCGTTGACTGGGGGTGGGGGAGGGATCCAAAACTTGGATGCTGCTAACACCAATCAGATATAAGGCACATTAAATGAGGTAAAAGGCACGGATGACATTATGCGGCAGCTAATGCTAACGTTAGCACACATCCATTGGTAGCAGCAGGAGGACTTAAACCTAACCAATAAGCACGTTAAATGGCAACACCACTCACCTCTCATGGATGCACAATGGAAAAGGCTAAAACATTCTCATCCCTGAAATAGTCTATATTTTGTTTTAAAAATGGATTGTGTACTACAGAAAAAAATATATATTTTTTTACCCAAACTTTTTAAAATCGTGCATTTTAGACCTGCAATTTTAATACAGTGATACGGCGCTGTTTTTGCTCACAGTTATCCTGCGGCGCAGAATCTAATATCGACCCATGCCTAATTTTTATTATCGTTAATGCACCTCATCAAGTAAAAAAAAATAAAAAAATCCCTTAAACTCAAAATTTGGCTTTGGCACCACAAAGGTTGGACTTAACAGTAAAGTTACATGCAGGCGACATGCTGGTTGGACCACTCGGGTTAGGGAATTGCAGGATTATGCAACAGTCACCTGGCAGCGTCAAATGGAGTTATAATCCTTTCCAAGACAATGAAACGGGACCAAAACACCACAAAGTTAATGTTAAATAAGCCAAACTCAAGTGTCTTAAAATCATACCGCCTTTATGTCCATTTTAGCTTCGAATTAGCCATCTAACATCTAATCCGACCCCATTTTTCAATGAGTGGTGTGAAATTGTAAGGTTTTGTCTCTTTGAGAGACACGGGGGTATAAAACGCCGGATTAGCTGCATGTCTGACACCAGCTACAAAGACCAGTCAGGTTGTACAAAGAAGAGAGGAAGCAAAAGAAGTGATGCAAGAGATGGCTTCTGGAAAGGTGGCGGAGGTGCCATCCACCATGGAGAGCAATGCTGACGTATTTGTTCACGGGAAAGGCAGAGCACAAGGCGACTAAAAGGTGTCTGACGATTCCCGCCACCAGCCCACTGCCCCCTCCTCAGCTCACTCACACTTACCGAGTTCAAGTTGTTCACGTGCTTACCGTGAATGCAATTTGTCCCTCATCATCGTCTCCCTTTGTGTCGGAGCACACATGACGAGTTCAGCAGTATGCCCATCACTTAAAGCTTTAACATGTCTCTTATTGGAGTCGATCGTCATCCCTTCAACCATTTGTCCACATGCAATCAGACTCTTGAATCAATTTCAAAAAACACCGACGAGAGAAATAAAAGCAAGAAAAAGAGCAGGAAAATACATAAAAGGATAACATCCTGATTTCTCCGCAATGACCATCTTCTTCTGTCATTGTTTCCTCGGTCAAGTTCCCAAATAAATCACAAATAAGCACACATGTTCCTAGAAAAACACACCAAAATATCAGTTATTCCTTGGCCTTACTTATAAAATTACAATATTCCAACTCTATTAATCCCCAAAATAGAACATATAAACATAAATATATCAATTAGTATCGCTGGATCATTTCTCTTGAAATTGGAGGCGAACGCCACCATAACATCGTGACAAGCTGGCACCTGATTGGCTAAAGCAGAGCTGGGCTTGAGGTCAAATGATTGGAGGATGGAAGAGTGCATCGTATATGTGTGTGTGTGTGTGTGTGTGTGTGTGTGAGTGAGTCAGGGAACAACAAAGAATCTGGATCATCATCTGGAGTTCAGTCTCGGAGCCGTCTGAAAGAAATGCAGAAGAGACAAAAGTCACATGATGTGAACAAACCAGAAGTGACAACACCAACTTTTCCATTCTGACGTTTACTTGGACTGAGTGGCTTTCATCAGATACTGGAGATTGCTGCAGGGTAGTACCAGTCAGTGAAAACTGTGTTGAGAAACTAAGTTGAACTTCAACTGAGCCCACAAAAGGAATCAGCCAACACTGAGCTTAAAGGGGCAAAAAACAAGTCATGCCCTCTGCTCACGAAAGAGTTTCACCACCATGAATAACAAAGATTTGGGTTCTTGACACCCACCCAAAAAGGTTTGCCATTGCCTTAAGAAGTGTTTGGCACAAAGATGCCACCAGATGGAGCCAAAGCAACATGATTGTTTCAGACATGTTTTTCAGCTGATAATGGCCCACAAAATCCACAACGAGGAGAATTTGCAAATGCCAAACTGCAAATATGTGGCATAGACTCGATATTATCATGACTTTGCATATGTGGTAATATGGCAAACAATGGCCACTACTATTCAAGGGACGATGCCTATCCAGTACAAGGAGGATTTTCAGGATACCACTAAATGAAATGATCGTTTGATTATATTATTTAAAAAGAGAGAATTTGACCACTCACCACAGATAGGTGCCCATTCTTAGCCTTCGCCACCAATAGCTCTGATCCAGGTGTGAAGTCAATGAACCCTTCTTTTCCTTGGCCCACAGTAAATTTTATACTGGAGGGGAAGCACAATGATGATTAGGTGTAGGCAAGGGCCGATATTCGATCCTGACTGATGATAACCGAGAGAGCAAAAATATTCCAGTATTACGGTATTAAAAGTACAAGTCTTAGTAAAACTTAGTAAGTAAAGAAAAACAACATTTTATTTTGCAAACAAAATAGAGAATGGTTGGTCTATTATTACAAGACCAAACATAATACCACAACAAGAAACAATGTTTCCATGTTTTTCCTGAAGAAAATGTAAACGTCACGGTGCAGGATGAGTAGTGTATGTGAGCTTTTGAATTAAAAAATTGGTTGACCCTCATTTCACGCCAAATGTTTCCTGTCGCTGCAAAGCAGACCTTCACAATAGTTTTAAGTTCTCCCGCAAAATGTCTTGATAAACTTTCAATTTGTTTGAATGACAGGCAATGCGCCTAAACCCGAGCAAGTAAAACAGTTGCAACCACCATATTTCATCGTTGGGATGAGGTACAGTGAGATCCCTCACTTATCGTGGTTAATGGGGACCGGGATCTGGCCGTGATAAGTGAAAAACCCGCAAAGTAGGGTTTGCCCCCCCGCCCCAGGAATTTTGCCACGCACATAGCAAACACAACACTAAGAGACAGTATGCCAGACAGTCAACAGCGTGATGAGACACAAGGGAAGGTGCTGGGTGGGGCTGCGAAGATGCGCAGCCAATCAGCTCACAGGATATATCTATTCGTGCTGTCACTGGTCGACGTCGCACCGGGAACCAATCATGCACATTGAATGAGTGCCTGTTGCATATACAGTACAGGCATGTACAAAACCTCTGAGTCATTCGGCATTTTTTTTCTGGAGACAGTACTTCGGGAAAAAAAAGATGTCTGAGGCCGCGACAAATGAAGCGCAATATAGCGAGGGATCACTGTACTGATTATGGTGTGCTTTCTTTCCACACACAGCGTTCGGTTGTACAGTCCATCCAAAAACCCGGCTTGGGCTTCATCTGTCCACACAGTAATTTGCCAGCAGAGGTAGCAAAACCTTGCCACAGCTTGGTTGAGGCCAAAGCTGCTTCAACTCAGGGTTTTTACTTTCTGGACCTGGATTTGCCACCTTGGTTTGCCAGCGGTAATGTAGAATATCCAGGCCTTATTTTACAAACTTCAGCCCAGTGGCTATTATTTTTTTTGGACATCAATAACTCCCTCCGTGGTGTCCGCGGTGTGTGTTCACTGTTTTACCCATCCCGGATTTGTCAACAGAAATGCCAGTGTGCGCCAAAGATTTCTCTTAAGTGCTAAGCCGCACTCTCGGTTTGTTGTTCACCTCACTGAGCATTTGGCACTGTGCTCTTGCATTCGACTTCGCAAGACGGTCACTTGTGGGGAAAGCAGCAACAGTGGTGAATTTTGTGCATTTATCAACACTCTGTCTTACCTTAGCCTGTTTATTCATGCAAATTAAATTCTTAATCGTAGATTCACTGAAAGCTTTTGTGCGAGGCAAGGTTCATATCGGGTAACGCTTTTTGAGCCACAAACAGTAGCTTATGGGCGTGCGAAATAATTTACCATAAATTATTATAGTGCATCATTTAAAAAAAAAAAAAGGAGTATAAATAAAAACAAACATACTATTAGCTTTAGCATTAGGATTATGTAGGGATCCATGGAAAAAAAAATTCTCCCCAAAAGTTTGAGAACCCTTGGTATTGGTACAACTGTTTTCAATAAAATAAGTGTGATTTTCAAAATCTTCTGAGAGCAGTTTATAATTTTCAGGCGACAAAATGCTCATCGTGAAAACAAACAGTTAAAAAAAATAACGCAATTAATGCCTTATGAATTGAAAATAAAACTTAATCAGCATTTTTGTCACCTATTCTGTAAGAATAATCACTGATGATGATGTAATGTGTGCTCTCGCCCAACGCAAACAGTTGCCCAAAGTTCTTACCTGCCCTGGTTGATGTTGATGCTGTTTACTTTGTCAGCACATATGGCGATCTTGGTCAAGGTCTCAATCACGTGGTCACTTTGTAGAACAACATCTCCCTGTGGAATTTAAACCCAAATATGAATGTGTTATGTTAAGCAAAAAACACAGTGACTCCAGCGCTTGTGCACACTACCTTCTGTTTGTTGTCATCACTGGGCACGTGCAGAACAAACAGGCCATCACTGAGGGAGCTGACAGAGATACCTACGCAGGAAGTTTCAATGAACAAGGGGCTGTCGAGAGTAAACCAGTCGCTTGGCAGTTGACTTCTGACCTTTGAGAGCATCGTAGTCAATGCGTTGCTTGATTTTGGCATCTTCCACAATAATGGCACAGTTTGCCGTAAGAAGCAGCTGGCGTGGACGGGCCTTGTAGCCCTTCCTGTCGTATTTAGTGACTGGCACCGCATACTGGAGACAGGAGTGGATGACTAAAAAAAATCGAATCAACTGGCGAGTCTGAATGGAACTGGACTCAACTAACCTTCAACTTTTCGTTTCCGAGACTCTGCAGGACCTTGGGGTTTATGTTCTCACCGTCTGAGCAGAAGTGATGAGTCAGCACTTGATATTGTGTGTAGCATGTGAACATTCTAAACGTTTAAAGACACTTACCCAATCGAGTGCTGACAAAAAGCTTGGGCACACTTTGTGGGTAGTTGTCTTTCTTGTCCTTAAATATCTCACTTGCGATTAGCTTCTGCTCCATCTAGCCATACAGGATTGAAAAATAAAGCGGTTGGTCAAATGTTGTAAATCACATTGTGGAGCAGTGTGACAGCGGACTGAACAAGCATCACCTGGTGTTTCCATTCAGGGCTGATCTTCTTGCAGTAGATCCACACCATGTTCTGCATGCAGAGTTTGCGCAAATGTTCAGAAGCCTAAAAACACAGACAGTGGTGTGGAAGGTTATTAGAGTTGATGAAAACTAACCAAACATCTAAAATCGAATAAGCATTTTTGTGAATGGAATATCGTAAAAATGAGAATGCTTTAAAAAAAAGTTACTAACTGAAACAAGGGCACAATTTTATGAAACTGACCAACATTAACTAAAAACATAGTGATAATGTCCCTCGTTTTTATCTTTGTCGGTCAATATCACATGGGCTTCTGGAGCTCATTTTAAATGTATTTATTTTGGTATTAATGTAGAGTATGTCCATACAGAAGGTGGAAGGCCAAACAGTTGCTTGAGAATAGGGGATGCTTGTCCAACTGCCTTCCCTTTTCAAAACTGTTTTTCTTATGGCTCTCGGCTTCTTTCCTTGTCTGCCAAAACTGGTATTTTAAGTTGGTGGTTCAGCAGAGCACGTCAGGCACTCATGTCATTCAAATCTAGTGTTCCAAAATGCTCTGAGAGCTGCGTGCGTGAGCAATTCCTACCTCTGTAAGAGCTGCTGGCGGCTTCGGCCAGCTTTTGTCCAGAACGTTCTTTGGCAGGTTCCTGCGCAACTTCATGAGGAAAGAGTAGCGCACGTAATCCAGGAAATACTCATTTTCTGGACAGCGTTCCTTGTGGCGGTAAATGAAGCCTTTTATGAACCTGGGTGTGATGAAACAAAATCGCAATACAGTTACCAGATGACTTCATTCCATGACCAAGCCTGAACTCAATTTACTCATTCATCAAATTACTTTTCGCCTTCGAAATGAGTCAAAATGCTATTCAAGCCCCACCCAAAAAAAATAAATAAACTGCTACATTTTTTTGGTTCCATATTTTTAAAAAAGAAAAATAGCACTGTATTGTAAAATATAAGATAAAATAGAATATGAATAAATAAACGGGTTTGTTCAAGTGTAGCTAAGATGACAAACCCGCAGTTTAGTCCATTCTTGCGTCGTATACCTTTAAGGGGCATGTTGGCCAGTTTCCAGGTGGTTTGTGTGGCATCGTTTCAATGGTGTTTGAGTGTATTCATCTGTATTTGTGTGTTTGACTCATTTCATTAACATCTGAAAGTTTATCAGCTATTGTGCCTTTATTGCCCCACTTCATTCGAGCAGTAGCACATCTAATACTTGCTCAAAACTCACATTTTAGTCACATTTCAGCCTCCCCCCCAAAAATATTGACCAAGCAACAGCTCGCAACTCGAAACACTGGAAGTTGAGGCAGTTATTTGTACAGTAAGTCAAGGTGCCGCTGTACAAATATTTTGTATGACTTGAGTAATTAGGCTCATTTGACTTTCTTGTCTGTGTGTACCTGCGGATGGTGTCAGCAGCCTGCCGCCTGCGTTTGGCCCTACGCCTGGCTAAGATCCCCCTCCACCACGCCTGAATGGCAATAGCTGATAAAACACAATTTTTTTTTTTTAATTGGGGTTAAATAATTCATGTACAAATTACATCAGGAGAAGGCGAAAGATGATCCACTATTCCTTACCTGAAGTTCTAAGTTTCTGGTACTTGGACCTCTGGCTGTAGCCCCTCCATCCAGCCTGCAACATGATGGCTGTGGGAGGGCACCAGGCAAAAAAAACAGATTATTTTTGAGATACAGTTCTTATTTAACCAGCCATGTTAACCAGACAATTCCAGTAAGCCTAAATGAAGCATAGAATCCTTTTATGTGAAATTGCACCAAGGGATAAAACATTATACAATACAAATGTCCTGCTGGCAATACAGTATTTCTTCAGGTGAAACATTCCTTTCAAATCAATTATTGCACGCAACTCTAATTTTCTCATCAGTTGCTTTCTCAAAAAAAACAAACAAGCCACAGACAAGAAGAACACAATTGCGGGCGAAAAGCTTGGTCAAGAAGACCATCAATATTGTGTATGTTGTGAAAGTAGCTCTCACCAAGACTATGCTTCCTGGTCTCGAGGGCCTCCTCCGTGGCAAATAAGGTCTTGGGGAAACGGATGAAAATTTTTGATCTGCGAAGTGGAGTTTAATCAAAAGTGTATTTAGCATATTAATACATACTTTTATATATCTTGCCTAGTCGCTCTTAGAGAGTTTTATACATACTGTATGACCATTTTGTTTCCTCATCTGAGCATGTGTGTCAGTGTGTGTTAATGACCTGCCCAGCTTGTAGTCTTCAGGCTTGTATCCCAGGTGCTTGACCAAGATTGCGACTCCATCAGACAGTTTGCCCTTCCAGTTTGGCCAAGTCTCTGGGCACAGGGACTTGTACCTAAATGGAATAGAATAATAGATTTGCAGGGCTGAAATATCAGCGTAATGTTTACATTATCAAACCATCACAAATGTACATACCAGTGGTACCACAACAGAAAAGATTTAATTTTGTAGACAGAATGATTTGTAATGAAATAAAATGTCTCCAGCAAAAGAGGGCTGGCTGAAATCACATGGAGCTTGCGATGTTGTATGCTTTCTTTCTAACCAAAAGCCTGTGAAAGCCTGCTCACGCACTGAGCAGGCTAAAAACAGAATGTGTTTTCTCATTAAACTAAATGGGTGATAAAGTAAATCGAGTTTGATAGATACCAAAAAGTTAAGGTTCATTCATCTATTAATGAATCAAATTGAAACACCTAAGCACTTACAGGATCTCATTTCAGGCTTTCCCAGAACGTTATAGAGAGCTTAGGTAATACAGTGCATTTATTCACAGGCGGAACAACTACCGTAAACCAAATCATGAAAAGTACCCACAATGAAATCAGCGTTGTTCTGTTACAAACAAATACAACTGTTGTCTCATGTTTACAGCAGTGACAGAAAAATGAAAGATTTATATCATTGGGAAAGTTTTACGATTTCAAACGTAACGTTCAAAGAACTTTGAGGAGCTCTGAACAAATGTCATTTAGAAGAATAAACGGCCAGATCATTTTCAGCGATTCTTCTCAGGTTTACATAGTTTGAAGTGGATTTTCAACTCTTGGGTCAAATTAGCACACACTGGGTGACTGAGCTCCGGCTGGTGGCTCCAACACGTGCATATTGTTTACTGGCTTGGCACAGGATGAAATTGGTGGATTGCATCTTAACTATAAGAGGAAAAACAAAATTCACCTCTGCAGGAAGACCTCGTAGCGCCGTCTGTAAGCAAAGCCGGCTCGCCTCACCCTCAGATTCTCCATCAGTCCCAGATACTTGACCTGGTGACGGATCAAAACATCGTCAAAGCGACCTGAGAACGAGAGGAAGGGGTAGAAGGAAGGGTTTGAGTCAGGTCACAAGAGCCTGAGAATAATGTAAAGCCCGTTGGAAAGAATGAACAAGCAAAAATCAGCAGTAGGAGTGACAAAGAGAAACAGTGTGAGCTAACAAAAGGACAACTGTAAGGGGAAAACAAAGGACATCGAAGTATACGAACGACCACATGGGGAGTTTACTCCATGGCCAGTGACGTGGTCACAACACAGAGTGTTTTGCTTGGAATTACCATCAACAGGATTAAAATGACATCTATGAAGAACATATTAGCTTGTGGAAGCTGCTAAGCTGCTTTAACTGTGTTTACAGCCCAAGAGTGGTTACATGAGGCCGACATTACACTTTTGAAGCTTTTGCGCTGGAGTAAGAGTGAGTCCTACAGAAAATGCAGCGCTCACATATGATCTCGACTATGCAGTCCTGGTATGCTCCAGATAGAGTAACAGTCAAACGTCTGGAGACATCTTCTCGTTTATTAGCATTCCAAACAGTGTCCAAACGTCCAACTCGTACTTTACAATGCAAAACGGCACAGTTTTCATCCAATCAGAAAATAACAAAACACTCCCTTCGGATGTGTGAATTGCAGAGAACAAATGTCGTACAGTACTTTACCTTGCATCTGTAAATAGGTAGAAATAAACTACTTAAGAGGAAAACACAGGACTATAGCCAGAGAGAAGTGATAATTTGAGATATCTACGACTTCACACCATTAGTTAGCAAAATTGAATTTGAGTCCAATAGTTCACTTGTTGACCCACAACATTTTACATGGGAAAAAAAAAAGATACGACTTCATACTTGCTTGCTTGGAGTCATTGGGCTTGATGCAGCGAACATATGACGGTTCCTTGGACATGAGGATCTCCATGAGTTTTGCCAGACTGGCCTTGAACTGGGTTGCTGCCTGGAAAGGCAGACAAAAACAAGACAGACAACAGATGAGGATGGCAGGTCCAATCGAGTATGAAAACTTGATGAAAAGTGATGAGAGAGGAAATTGATGCTGGATGGGTCCACACTTGAGGGCGCGGGGGGGGACACTGACGTCAAAAGGGAGGAGTGACGACAAGTGGTGACGGCAAGGGTGAACATTGGCTATCATGGAGGAGGGTGAATTTTGCCTCGCCAGCCAGTGACAGAACCCTGTTCAAGCTGTGTGGGTGTAAGGGAAGGTGCCATTCCTCAGTGAGTGGGCGGCAGCAGAGAATCCTCGCCAGACTGCCCACTCAACAACACTGAGAGAACATGTTTGTGCTTGTTTTGCAGTGGGAAAGTATGTTGGGACGCATGAGAATGAGGTATATTACCGTGTCTGGACGTTTCTTGTCACTCAGCTCGTCCCTGTCGAAACACTGGTTCAGGATCTTGTTCTCAGACATGCACATAACCTACAAACAGAAATGGAATTGTAATTGACCAAATGAGACACAAACCAGCTCATTAAAATATCGCTGTTGCCGTTCAGTCAATCAGTCTCACCTCTTTTAAGTTCCTAAAGAGCAGGTCATTGTTCTTGTCCAGAAAACCTGAAGACAGGACTCATTTGAAGTTGAAGTTGGATACATGCACTAACGAAGTACAATTTTGTCACTTACATATTTTAAATACAGCACTTAAAATCTCTTTTGTATCAAATAAAGTCAACTCATATTTCCTTCTTCAGTAAGTTATATTTGCCAACTACAGTCAGCCATCCATCCATTTTGTAGACCAGTTGTCATAATTACGGTCATGGCCGATCCTAGCTGTCTTGGGACTAGAGGTAGGATACACTCTGGACTGGTCAAAAGCCAATCAAAGGCCAGATCGATACATAATACCATCTACGAACAATCTCAAGTCTTCAGTTAACCTAAAGTGCTTGTTTCGGCATGTGGGCGGAGCTAGAGAAAACCCTTGCAAGCACAGGGAGAACAATTACGACTCCACACAGGAAAGCCGGAGCAGAGAACAAGAGAACCGAAAGGCCGACATGCACACCACTAAGACACCATGAAGCCTTTGTGTTTTAATTCTTCCCAGTGCAGTTGACAACTTTGAGCAAAATATTGATTTTCACCTAACACCAACAGTTTAAGGTTTCATGTTTATTTCTCACTAACGATTTAAGCCCGATTTAAGCTGAGTTTTTCCCAAACAGTGCAATTAAGTAGATGTACAACGCAAGTTATTTTCTTGTTTTTGAGTTTTTCGGATGGGCTTGAACGCATTGCTTTAATACCACATTCAACCAACATTTTTGAGCCATGTTAGAGTGGTCGATTTACGGACCAAACACCTGTAGTGAATTTTGCCATTCAGCTACTTGTTGGAAAACAGAAAGTCCTTCAAAAATTAATAAAACACTAAACAGTTACATGTGCATTCAAATGTTTAGAGCAGTGGTGTCAAACATACGGCCCGCGGGCCGGATCCGGCCCGCAAAGGAGTTTAATCCGGCACGCGAGATGATTATGTAAAGCATCGGTGTCAAACATACGGCCTGCGGGCCGGAACCGGCCCGCAAGTAGGTTCAATCAGGCCCGCAGGATAATGTAAAAGTGAAAAAAATGCATTAAAGACACAGAATTAATATTTTTAATCAGGTGCAATTCATTGAGTATCCGCAAGGGGACACTGTTTTGATCAGAGAAGAAGACAACAGCAGCCTCAGTCTGTCACTGAGACAGACCCATGACAGCAGACGCTATCAATAGCACTCTCACATTTACACATTTAATAGCACGCTCCTTAGTTTGTAAGGTGTAGGCAGGGATTACATTTAGATTTTATATGCACGTGTAAATGCTTTAAAACTTGCTTTCTTTATGAATCTTGTTTAATCTTAAAGTGCATTACTATATTTTTCAATACCAATTACTTGTTAAAGTTTGTACAATCAGTGGGATCAGTTGCAATGCATATATGAGAATGATAAAAGTAAATTGCACATTTGTCGAAGGAAATGTAAGGTGCTTCATGAAATGTTTTGTAAAAGATATGTTCATTAAATTTCAACATTTTCCTAATGTTCTTGTGCTTCTTTATACCAAAACAAAAGAAAGACATGTTGTTTTGGTTATTCACAGCAAAGTATTGTATCATTTTAATGGTCCGGCCCACTTGACATCTACCGAGGCCGTATGTGGCCCACCATGTGAAATGAGTTTGACACCCCTGGTTTAGAGTCACGTTACGGTCACCTGTAAAAGTTACAGTGCATTTTAAGGTCATCAGGGAATTCCACCTGAAAGTCGGCTATCCTTAAATTTTTGTGAGCAGTGTATGTACCATTAACATTGTAGTTGACTTCGCCGGCATAATGTAGCAGTCGGAATTCGTCACGACCCATTATCTTCCGCGTCTTTCCATCAGCAAGCTTATGACTGCAAGGGAAACACATATGTACATAAACATAAATTCAACATGAAAATGCCTTACAGGTTCTCCCGCAATGTCCAAGAAACAAATAGTGAAGCACAATGAGACCAGGCATGGAAAGAATACGGATAATATAGAATGTAGGAATAGAACTGACGTGACAAAATGTGGATGACCTCCCACGGTGTTCTCCAGCTTCTCTAGGAAGGTTAAGTCGCTGGCATCTCCTGGTCTCAGACACTCTTCATCCTGGAGCAGGATCGGAAGAAAAGTATCAAGCGATTTGGATTGCAATCACACCGCATAACAGTGAAAGGGCGATCAGTACTGAAATATGTTCTTGCAGTGAGAGTTTACAGAGCTGCTAACCTGAAGAAATTCACTTCTGGAACAATTTATCAGATTTTTTAAAAATTCGGTCAAGAACATTACCGTGGGACGTTAACACAGTACAATATACATTTACGCACACACACACACACACACACACACACACACCCACACACACACACACACACACACACACACGCCTGTGTCATTTGTTGAGCACACGCACACGCACGCACACGCACGCGCACGCGCACGCGCACACGCACACGCACACGCACACGCACACACACACACACAGAGGCTATTTTTTCCTCAACAAAAGCGGCCGACTCCAAACTTTTTAGTGCCACTAGTCATTTTCATGAGAAGCCAGAGACCAGAATAAAAACCGCCGAATAAAAATATCATGCATCATTAGCGACACTCCACATTTTGCCACGTATTACTACCGTAATGACTAAGAAAGAAATGATCTGGACGAATGAGAATATCCACAAGCATTGAGTAACCACACGGTGCTGTGGTGTATGTACTGTATAGCATTTGTTTTTCGATGATAGATACAGTTGTCATTAGTACGCAGTGCTTATCATCCACGAACATTTACTGCTCATGAATAAGCAGTGACACATTATGTCACCAGAGTCACCGGCTTTTAACCCTACCATGCACCCTGTAATCTGATAACATGGTAAACTGTCCACTCTAGTAACCGCTGTCCCTGAAAGGGTTAATATCCATAATATTCAACGTTGCGGTCGTGACGTGGCAGCGTTCAAAGATTTCCTTCACAAAATATGGACAATCCGTAGCAGTTGGCATCTTAAATTTAAGATCATGATCATAATAATTGTTTTAAGTTGTGAGGGTTTACCTCTTCAATAGGACATTACCGAAAATTGACTTTTTAATTGCTTTTACGCAAACACGCCTGTAGAGTTCCTGTGCACCCACCAAGTGTGAAATTCCCCAACAAAGATTATCTTCTGTAAACTGCCAGTTTCCCCAAAATTTGTCTGAGACTCAGACGTTCTAAATTGTATGACAATAATCCCATGAGACATGAACAGTTGAGTGAATTTTCTTAAGACCACCCTCACATCAAATTTGTCTGTCCCTGACACTGCCATTAGGTTGGGCAAAAGGTTGGCCATGTTGAAGTAACAGCTCCAACATGGAGGCTCTACCATGTTAAAGTCAAAAGGTAAAAGCAGAGATGCGTTGCAAAGATTAACGTTGACTCGCAAGGTTTAAGTCTGACAAACGGCAGATACTCATCGTTTGGCAAAGTCGTCGATGAGGGAGCAGGGCTATTTGTGTTTGCATGCATCACATGCACATATCTGCTTCAATAACAACCAAGTATAATTTGACTCTGTGATGAAGTGCTGCCTCAATGAATGAAAATGCAACTGCTCTTCACATGCATGCTCCTTTTTTCTTCTCACTCTGGGCTGGTTGTACCCTCACCATGTTGGTACCCCTAAGCTTCACCCATGGCCATCATGGTAACGAAATACATACTCGACATTGGCCCCACAGTATTGGGGGCAGCGAGAGTAACTCCACCCGCCCCAAACCAAGTGACATCACCCTTGAATCTTGCTAAAAACAAAACATAGCCTTGGGAGAAGTAATGAACCAGCTGTGAATTCCTCACCAGAATGGATATGATGCCTTTGAATTTCTCCTCCACGAGGTCACATATGATCTTGTTGTTAAAGTACTGCACCGGTTCCCACTAGAAAGAAAAAGCATTGTTGAGAGATCATTGAAAAAGAAAAAGTAATTCATCCAACTTAAAGCGGCCCTGTCTCACAAAGTGAAGGCAGAGAAACCAACATGTGCCTGGTCAGGTGACGAACAGCATGAACGAATTAGAAGTGTGTCAATGTTACCAGGACAGCCACAATTGCTTTCATCACAAAGTGGTGTCACCAGTGACACTCAGATGCTGTGCTTGCCATTCTCCTTGTACATTGGTGGTGTTCCACCTTAAACATGGGTTAGAGAGTCACAAAAATACAGCGAGCTGACCAAAGTGTACGGAGCCTTTGACTGAGCACAGTATTAGCAGAGTTCCACAGCGAAGCCGATGGTCCTGATTTAAAATGGCTCTTGACCTTTTGCGGGTGAATCAATCATTTTGCTGAAACTAAACCCACATTGCCGCTTTGTTCTTAAAACGTACATGAAAAAAAAATCGCTCGTTAAGTCAGCCTAAATGAACGCAACATATTGTTGAATATTGTCATTCAGTTTTCATCTACCCATAAGAGAAAGTCAAAATGGTGACATGTTTCCTCGTGGTGCTTCCTCTATATATAGTTGCCCCTTTTTTGAGTAACTTGGAGAAAAAAAATAAAACAAATCATCTGCAAATCAGCAGGCAGAAGATTTGAATGACGAAATGTGTGTGCGTGCTTTTGCGAGTAAAAGGGGACTGACCGTGATGCCCTCGGCTTCATACTCCTCCTGCTCTGACTTGAGGGTAAGCTCAATGAAGAGCTGCTGTAACTTTTCATTACAGTAGTTGATGCAGAACTGCTCGAAGCTGCAACATAACAGCGGCATCAACTCAAAGGGGGAAATGTGAATTTTTTTTTTAAACAATTATTATTATTAAGTGAAAACATGCACATTCAACTACATCTTCAAATGTCAGTACCGGTACTTGATATACCGGTACGTAAATTTGGATACAGTGGTGATTAAGGTAATTCACAGTAGGTTAAAAGGTCTCCTTCAAGTCCGAAAAAAATCATGGCAAAAATGTTCGATGTGCCCACACTAGTTTAAACATGGTATTTTGATTAATACAGTGTTTGTTGAAAAGAAAACGTTACAGAGCATTTTTGATTTGAGTTCACCGTTAAAACTGGCATTGGTAAATCAGGCTGTCACCACAGCTTGAGGACTGGAGCCCTTCAAACTGTTCAACCGCATCGTCAAACAAGTTATGAGACAGCTGAAGAGGACTTATGCTCCCTGCTATGACACTTTGCCTCTTTGAGACCATATTGTGTCCAGCTAATGAACAATTTTTACCTGTTGTGCTGGAAGACTTCAAAGCCGTAGATGTCCAGTAGCCCGATGACAGAGTAGTGTTTATAAGAGTCATCCTGTAAAACACAACAGCCCCGTTTAACCTTAACAAATGCAAGACAAGGCAAGTTTATTCGTATAGCACATTCCACATCCAAGACAATTCAAAGTGCTTTAAATAAAACATTAAAAGCATGACAGGAAGAGATAGGCATTGCAAAAAAAAAAAGTTGAAAATAAACAACTCCAGAGTATGATGCTGTTGACGTTTTGCAGGTGGGTCTCATTTTTAATATTACAAAAACCTGCCATTCAAATGAGTGTGCACAGACTTTTTATATCCACCACGTGTGAGTACAATGTATGGCTCACGTAAGTGTATACAGAGTATCTTGGAACGTGGAACATTACTAATGCTTTTGTGTTGACCTTTAAAATAATGTCCACAAGGTGGAGCTCTAGTTCATAAAAAAAAAAAGTCAACAGGCACTGCTCAGTCAAACTAGAATAGTTTGAGTCCAATTTCAGCGTGAGCGTGCACGAGCGTACCGTGTATGCCAGTGAAGTGTTGATTTTATTGACAAGCCAGGTGAAAGTGCGTCCATACACTGCCTTTGACAAAGCATCTCGAGCTGAGGATGCCTGTTCGAGGTTGAGAGGGCTGATCAGCTGTTGAAAAACGCTCTAGTTCATAAAAAAAAAAAAAAGTCAACATGCACTGCTCAGTCAAACTAGAATAGTTTGAGTCCAATTTCAGCGTGAGCGTGCACGAGCGTACCGTGTATGCCAGTGAAGTGTTGATTTTATTGACAAGCCAGGTGAAAGTGCGTCCATACACTGCCTTTGACAAAGCATCTCGAGCTGAGGATGCCTGTTCGAGGTTGAGAGGGCTGATCAGCTGTTGAAAAAAAAATACACAAATGGACATTAGACCCACTGACAGTGTACATGTTTTAAATACTTAAGCTAATAAAGCACCCATGCTACACTGAGTGTGCATCTAATCCTACCTCCTCTCCCTTAGCGATAATCTTTTTGTGTGTTAGTGCCTCCGTCAGCACGGCCCCGTTGACTCCTAACAACTGGAGAGATATATAACATCATTAGCAGGCACAAGAGCAAGTCAGCCACCTAAGTGGGAAATAAAAAGAAAAATAGACCTGAAATCATATCGATAATATTTGTTGAATGTTTGTGATTCAGGGAAAGCTAGGGATTAAATGAAGTAGAGTTGTCAAAATTAATCAAGTAATTGATGATCAAATTAAGTGTCAAGGCGGCACGGTGGTCGACTTGTTAGCATGTCCATCTCACAGTGCAAAGTTGCAGGGCTCAATTCCGGCTCTGGGCTTCCTGTGTGGAGTTTGCATGTTCTGCCTGTGGCTGCATGGGGTTTCTCCGGGTAGTCCAGTTTCCTCCCACATTCCAAAAACATGCATGGCAGGTTGATGGAACACTCTAAATTGTCCCTAGATATGATTGTGAGTGCAAATGGTTGTTGATCTATGTGTGCCCTGCGGTTGACTGGCAACCAGTTCAGGGTGTATCTTGCCTACTGCCCGATGACAGCTGGGATAGATTCTCGTGACCCTTGTGAGGATAAACTGATAAGGAAATGGATGGACGGATGGATAGATGGAATAATCGACAACTATTTGAATAATCGGTTAATTGTTTATAGCCATCGTTTAACTTTCAGCCACTTAACAGTAATTATTCATTCAGTCCTGTAGTCCATGATAGCATGTGTTGAATAAAAATAAAACACTTCTATGTTGGAAAACAATGACTGAACCAGTAACAGAATCGGTACAACAATCCCTTTCAATGACACATTAATTAATTGTTGTTTAGCTCGATGAGGACGGCCCAAGAATGAGGCTCACTGTTAAACATGATAGTGTGTTAGCTGGGTTAAGGAAAATGAAGCAATCTGCATCAAATATCTTTCACATGCGACGTAATGACCCATCTCATTGGGCAACATATTGGCAATGTGTGATTATTTGGTACTGAGTCATTATAAACGGGCGTAAATACACAAGTAATAAAGTCCAATCGGTGATGAAATATCTCTCAGTCTTGATCTACCTTGGCAAGATTCGCTCAAATAAAAACAGGTCTCTATCTCTTTCTCTGAGTTCCAGCAAACTTGCCTGCTGCAACATCTTACCCTTGCCAAGTACTTGATCTGTGTGTCAGAAGTGATGCAGGCAATGCCGTCCTCACCACCATACTGAACATTCCCCAAGTGAAGCACGCTGGCGATTATGTTCAACAACTCCTGCACAGACAAATGCATTGTGTGAAGAGAATGTGGAGGAGGTGCAGTTGAGCGGGTGGCAATCCCAGAATATTGGAAAGGAAAGTGGCGGATGAAGGACATAAAAGGGAAGGCAATAAACTAAAAGTGATAAGATAAAGTGTATCATTATAAGCAATTGAGCAGAGGAAATTTTCTTCAAAAAAATCGTGTGCCATAAAAGTTCAGGATACTTGATGTGGAATTTTACTCCTCCCGAAAAGGAGAAGTGCAATCCCACAAGATTGATATGTAAACAGATTTATGTCCCCGCAACGGAAGGCATACTTTATCTTCTTTCTCCCTCCTCCTCTTAAATGTTTTTGTTTTTAGCAGTGACTTTCGAGTCTGGAAACAAGCCCAGACCCATGAACCTGTCATCAGAACTCTCACGCTGAGCACAAGTTCTCACGCCGTACAAAAAAAAAAAAAAAAAAAAAAGCCACAATTTCTGTGGATGACTGGGATATACTCAAGAGAACACTCAGTAACATAAGCAGTCTCTTGTGCATTACATTACTAAAGCAACTCGACATCACATGAAAACAACTCACAATCGTTGAAGAAATACACACAAATCCCTGAATAATATGCATTGGCTGGGAAATGGTATGTATAAATGCACAAACTTCCCCTTGAACTATTATCTGTGCACTGATTACAGCCATACATTTCTTCAGTTGATAATATGTTGGAGGTGTTGCATCTCCCAGTGGTGATAAAACAAATACTACTAACTATGTCAAGTTATGATTTACGCTCAGTATGCAGCATCGTTACCTCAACCTCGTCCCCGTTAAAGCCAATCACGGTCAACGCCTTCCTCACCATCTTCCAATCACTGCGGTCATTGATGGAGCTCACTTTGGGACAGTTACCCTAATGATCAAAGACACACGCACACACACGCGCGCGCGCGCGCACACACACACACACACACACACACGCACACACGCACACACGCACACACGCACGAGCACGAGCACGCGCACGCGCACGCGCACGCGCACGCACACACTTATGAAAACCTTGTAAAGTCAAAGGTGTCCACAAAAACATCCACAAATCAGTTGGGCTGGAAATGTGTGACCACATAAACACTAATCTGCACAAAAACACGTCTGAGGTGTTTTTCACTTACTCTTTGTGCATGTGTGTGTGCAGAAGTAAGAGTGCTGTTGGCCCCCAAAGGAAAAGATGCTGACAGAAAGCCTATTAAGCCAAACTCCCACTGGGATTTCCTGTCTTACAAAGATACTCACACACAGTCCTACACACACCAATTGCTCTTTAAAACTAAAGCTGTGGTCAAAGAATAAAATCTGTGGAGTTTTTTTTTTTTTTTTTTTTTGAAGGTATTGCCCACTAACAAGTTAGGAGACAAAATGGAATTTCTCAACAACTGGTGTGCCATCATTAGAGACACAGTTAAAGTAGTTATGTAGAGAATTATTTGGACAACACATTTTCACGATTTTGGCTTTCTACACAGATTTGAAATAAAACAATCAGGATGTGACGGTAGTGCAGACGTTGACATTCAGGCGGTTTTACAAAAAGACAAAGCGTAGCACCCTTACTTTGACCAGATACTGGTACTGCTGAGGATTCCTCTCTAAGCCAAGGCGTCGAAGCAGGTCTTCCTCACCGCCCTCGATCAGCTGATAGAAAATGTGAAAGTTCCTCTCGCCATGGTTCTGGTGAACCACACGTGACTTCTCCAGCAGGTAATTAATGATGTGACCTCCCACCGGGGCACCCTGGCGACGAGACAAATGCCAGGGACGCACGGGAGAGCAAGGTGAGGTGGTACGGGAGGAAAGAGTAAAACTAGGGTACTAGAGTGTGATTGCAACATGCAGGTCAGGGTAAATATTGTGGGACCATGAACACGGTTGCAGGAGTGGAGAAGTAAAGTGATGACATCATAAAACATGGGAGACTCGGCTGCATGAATGTAGACACTAGGGGTGTTCACACGGCAAGATTTGCTCCGGTGCTGCTCCGGCGCTGCCCCAGTTGAGCGTTCACACGTGTGAAGTTACACCGGTGTAGCCCCTGAAAACAGCTTACTCCGGAGCAAATTTAACCCACCTCAGGGAGGTGGTTTAAAAATTTACTCTGGAGCAAATGCTCGTTTGCGGGGCAGCACCAATGTAAAATGGTACGTGTGAACGCTACAATTTGCTCCGGAGCAAATGCTCGTTTGCAGGGGAGAGTAGCCTCGCTACGCATGAGAAGAGTGGATTACATACGGCGAGAATGCGTTGCTTTCGTGCTCTGTTGTACTTCTGTCATGTGTTTGTTTAATAATGACACAAGACATGGCTGATAACAGTAGCAAGCGGCACATTGCCTCTAGGGCTATACCATCTCAACTAGAACGGGGGGCGGGATAGTCCCCAAACGTCATCTTTCCTTTTGTCAGAGACTGGACTGTCTCGGAGTTGTTTGTGTAGTTTGTTCCTTTGTTGTGTGTTCACAACCCCCCGCCCCCCATAGAATTTATTTTGTGATTTCCTCTCTTGATTTTCTGTTTGGCGCATTATATATTTGCTTTTCTGAATGTCATTGAAGTCATCGTTGATTTACGTTTTCGGGGCGGTCATTCAACGCCTCTCGAGCAGAAGGCACGGAGGAGACTGAGAAGGAGAAGGATGTGCCTGTACAGCAGTTGCTTGAGTTGTGTATATGTTTTAAAATGAACCAACACGACAGCTCTATTTTTTCTGTCGTTTTGCCCCGCTGCAGAAACTGCCGTGTGACCGCAAGTGGAGCTGCACCGGTGTTACGCCGGGGTTAACACGCTCAGCGGCTTTGTACGTGTGACCGCTCCACAAAATTTGCTCCGGTGTAAAATATATCACAACAAAATACATCGGTGCAGCACCGGAGCAAATGTGTGCCGTGTGAACACCCCTACTGACAATCGGTAGCTGGATGAATTTTACAAAGCTGCCTCGCCTTACTGTAAATCAGACCTCTCACCTTGAAGTCAAACTGGATATCCATGTACTTGCCAAAGCGACTGGAATTGTCGTTTCGCAATGTCTTGGCGTTGCCAAAGGCCTGGGGAAAGAACAAAGGAAGGGTAAAGGAGAAGTGGACTTTGAGTAAGAGAGTAAGATTGATGGAATTAAAACACAGTGAACAAAGGGCCATCAAGGAGGACATTCAAACTACAAAGCCAGAGGTTCTTCCAGTGTAGGGGCCCACAAATTACAAGATAAAGTAAACGCACACATCTGGAGAGCACCTGGACATGACATTCCAACATCAATAAAGAGCTACAATTATCTCTTAAACACATCACAAGCATTTTTAAGAAAGTTAAAACAATTTGCCAACAAAACCACACAGCTCATTTTAAAGTCCCCTTTTTTTTAACATGCATTAGAACCAATGCAACATCGGTCAAAGTGGAAGTAGCTAACATTTGGGAATCTCTCTCAACAGCAATAGAAAGTCAAACACAAGTGCAATACATTACAAAGCTCACTGTCAGTGCGGTGCAAAAAGAAATCTTAGCGTCCCACCTCGAGCACCGGGTTGGACTGCAGGAGGCGGTCTTTGATGGTCTGCACCTGCTCGCTGGCTGGACAGGTCACCGCGTAGTACTGCAGGATCTTCTTCGATGCTTCCGTCTTCCCAGCGCCACTCTCGCCAGAGATTAAAATGCACTGGTCTTTCCGCTCTGTCCTCATAGAACGGTACGAGTTATCGGCCACTGCATAGCTAGACAAGTGGAAAGAGAGATGAGACGTGTCACGCTCTTATCTGTGACAGACAATTGAGCAGTGTCCGTGAACAAAATAAACTAAAATAACAGGTTTGCCCCATCATTGATTGGTGATAATATTGACAATTTAGCATAATTTATTTTGATCCATCACATCTTGAAAGAAATAGCAGCATTACGGTAATATAATTTACAAAAGCAGAGTTAGCACTTGAGATAACAACAAATCCGTATGGCAGCATCGCTTCATCTCTGTTTAGATTTGCTGAATTCTCGCCAAGAGGTTCATGTTGAAATGCTGACATGTCTCTACAAGAATGAATAAACTGGGAGTACTTGTTGTGCTGTGTTGGGTTATATGGTGGACCCAGCTGTCTTTCAGTCTGGTGTTGGTTGTGATTTGTTACAAATAATGCCAAAGTGATTAACAGTGATTAGGGAAAAGCCTTTTAGCTACCCCAAATTAATGTACGGCAAATACTTTGGATGTGGTAACTGTTGTGTGCTACAAAAAACAACAACAACAATAATGAATCACCCTCAGGATATTGGTCTCCCAGGTGAAATTTATTGGTCAACTCAAGTTGACCTTATCTAAACATTTGATGCACATGTCCAACTGCTGAATATTTTCAGTGCAAAAGCACACACCTGGCTGTTCTCTAACAAGAAACAGAATGGCAAAATTCACTACAGGTCTGTGATCATTGAATGAAGGATAAATTGCAGAAACTCTAAAATGTTTCGGGATTAGTGTGTTTCAAAGGTTATCAAATCATGACTCTTTGAATACTGTAGCATTTAGTTAAATCCAGTGTGTGAAATCAGGAGGATAAATGCAGCAATATAGAAGCATTTAAACTTTCTTCCATCTCCCAAAAAAATAAAAGGTGTAAAGGTGGTCTGAGTTTTAGTGTCAGTTAGCAATGTCTTGGCTATCTGCCTTGATATGTTGTTTCAGCCTGTTTGGACACATCACTGACACCTGACTAACAGAGAGTTGATATAAACCAGCTTGGCCAAGGAGGCTTCGGATTGTATGTACAACATTACGGAAAGCAGTGTGTTGAGGTCAGGTTTAGTTCAGAGGAATTCCCTGTTGCGGGGTTGGGGGGGGGGGGCATCTCATCGTATCATTTGCTTACATTTCTTTCCACACTTCCCTAACCTTGTCTCTCTGGCTCTCCATCTCGACTTGCCATTTTTTTCCCCTTTCCACTCAAGGGAAGAAAACATTTGCATTCAATGCAGAAGTAAAGTAACCACTGGATTGGAAAGCGAGTGAGCTCGAGGGAGAGTATTTGGTTGAAGTCACCTCAGTCTCCATTAAGAAAATGTTGGTTTAGTAGATGACCTAATCGTCTCGGGAGAATTTACTGCGAGTTACCTCGGCATTCCTGTGGCAACTTTTCAAATAAACACCTCGCTAAATAAAACGGCGGATTTCCGCGGATCCGCGGAAAATTGCCATGTATGTTTAGTAGATGACCTAATCGTCTCGGGAGAATTTACTGCGAGTTACCTCGGCATTCCTGTGGCAACTTTTCAAATAAACACCTCGCTTGTGGCATGGCATCTTCTAAACTCTAAGGAGAAATTGTGAGTGCTGCAGTGAGCTAATGTTGTCTGACGACATTTAGAAGGGAAGGTTCAAATGTTATGTCATTGTGAAGGAAAAATCGTCATAATATTTTGCCAGACTTATTCGCGAATGTAGTGGAAACACAAGGTCATATTAAACAGATGGTCATGTGCGAACAACTCAGATTTAAAACTGGCAGCAGGAGGTTTTGTATCAGGACTCGGGATTTGGAATGGTTTGAGGACCGCTGCAGGAAAAAAAATGAAAATAAAAATAAAATTGAAATATGGCAACTCCTTGTTGAAGAGATGCTGGTCTGCTTCCTGACTACTGTGAAGATGCCAAGGTGCCCTTGAGCAAGGCACAGGCTCCACCCACCCACCCACACTAGCGCAAGAGATGCAGCACTGTTTGGATTCCCTTTTTGATTCATTAAAAATGTTTGATTTTATTAACATTCAGTTCCAGTAACATTTTCTTGAGCCACGCATTGCTTGTAACCTCTAAATGTCAAATGTCAGGATTAGCGCAAATTGAGGATAGGATACAGTCCTATATTTTTGAAAGGATTTTGATAAGGATGACATTACATATGGAAAAAAAAAGTAAAGAAAAAAATTCTTACATGTGTGGTGAGACCTCATAGAAGTTGACCCCACGGTATCGTTCCATGTGGTTCTTAGTGTAAATCTCCAGGTCTTTATATGGGTTAACCGACACAAGCACCGAGCCAATGTAAGTCTGAAAGACAAAATACAGTCACAATTTTGTTTCAAAACACTTTTCGGGTACGGTTTCAATAAACATCATGACAAGAGAGATCTGAGAGTTGCATAAGGGATTTCTATGATGCAATGACCATTAATAGGGTAAGCACTTGGTCGAGGAGGTTGATGGTAGTTTAAAGTAATAGTAATTTTATATGAAGAGATGAATTAGAAAAATCAGAATGCAAGAAAATAAACAACCAAACCAGCTATTGAATCACTTTCAACAATAATGATATTGCCTATTTTTGTTTAGGTTTTTTTTCCATTAATCTATGCCAAATAACAATAATTGTTCAATAAACAGTAGGGATGCAAGGTACCAGTAACTGTTTCCCCCGCCCTCCTCCACTGATGCCGATAACTTCCTGCTTCTCCAAACTGAGACTGATAACCGCTAACTTTTTTTTTTGTACACTACAAATCTATCTCTTGTTGCAGCTGAAAAGAATAAACATTTCAGTCCTGCTTCCTACTAATGTAGCAGGGTCAGAAAATATATATACCGTATATAAAAAGTGGTCAGCCACAGCGGACAGTTGCATGTTCTGCTACTTTCTGAACTCTTGTCACTTTAAACAGTGAGGTAATGATCAATCTCAAAAGCTGTGCTGCGTGTCAGTCGCTCTTAGTAAAGAAGAATAAAGTTGGTCATGTTTTGTTATCACCCCCACTAGTGTTTTATATCCATTTAATTATGTGATCAAAGCCTTTAATGTCCACTCGATCACTCTAATGGACAATTGTTCTACATATCACATTTTATTACATATGGCAAAGGTACACTTTTAGCTACAGTAGCACATTCAATTACATAAATAGTATTCTCATAAAATGTTACATATAAAATATTTTAAGAAATGCAGTGATTTAAAACCTTGCACTATATTGTTTACCGGTACCTTTCGCCAGCTATGCCTAAAGCATGACAAATTTAAACGAGGAACTGAACTAACTCGGGTCACTATTTCACGAGCTGCGTTGCATTCATTGGGGTTATAAAAAATAAGGATGTATGCGCTACATTGATAGCGCACCTTTTGGTATTGACCAAAAAGACAGCCTCATGTAAATCATTTGAGAACCGAGCAAGCTTTAGGTTATTTTCAATGGAAATGCAAGGACATTTATGTTCTCTGGGAGCGAATGTTGCCACCACCAGAGGACTAGCATTAGCATCTAGTTTCGTTGCGCTGAGCTCAGCGGTTGGAACCCTTTGCTAACTGCAGAGAGGTTCAGAATGCGGGCCGATTGCTGTCTGGACTTGTACCAGACATTCAAGTTTGATTGACATCTCAATAGTCAGTCTTGTATTTCTTTAATTATTCACGTAATTACAGTGTAGCGGGGATTTATTGTTCTTCTGTTTTATGTGGGTGCCACGCAGTGTTTAGAAACCACAATTGAAAACCAATTGAATGGTCACTATTCCTACACGTTACTTGAAGCACTATTCTTATTTTCCTTCTACAACTTATTTATTATGCTTCATGAAATTAATAATTAAAATAGTAACCTCATACTGTATTCCCAAATGATATTACATATGACATATGTGATGGAGTATTTTCATTCCATTTGGCAATTTGGTTTCTATTCCAATTGGAATACAAGCCTTTATGTAAACATGGCAACTGATGATTATTTAATCCATACAGGACATTTGCAACCAGTTGCTCTCCCTCTGAGGAAAATTATGATCCACATTTCCCCCAATTTTCCAACCTATTACAGACAAATAGTAACTGAATCATAATTTGAGCATTTTATGCACTGTCTATTTGAAGCAATGTTCTGTTTTTGAATAATAATAACCCTGTAATGCCTGACCCATCAAGGAATAGCCAGTAAAATCTGATTTTTGGGAACTGAGATGTTCATTAACCCTTATAACAAAATCCACAAAAATATTTTTGCCATATCATGTTGTTTTAGATATCTGCCGTATCATGGATTATCTGAATCAGCACCTTAAAATGCAGATCAGAACATCCCGAATAATTAATTGTGTTTTTAGAGTCGAGAAGACTTTGTCGGATTGTACATGTACAATAGGTAGTATTTTTTTCAGTCGACTCATCGTGAAATTTGGGTGCCTATGTGACCAATTGAGCCCTGGTTCAAGTAAACCTTTCTGGGAAAATGAAAGCCATGTTAACAAACAGTAAGCCTGTTACCTCTGAAGTTGCAAGCAGCGGCGCCATATTACTGTACCTCCAACATCCAGCAGCAGAGGCTTGGACTCTTTTTCTTCTTCAAAATGTGTTTGTTTTAAATCATGTATACTTTGCTTTTAAAGTGGGACCGAAACACTTATTTTTTCTTGATGTGGCTGCGTTTGACGTATTACTGGTAAGTCTGTTCTTGGTGCCATTTGGCTGTTGACGACGACTCGACTGGACGAGGCTGGCATAAAATACTGACGGAAGCTCAGTGACGGACTGACGATGCCCACCTTTCTGCACTTGTTAATAAAACGTAACAAGTTATCAGTTCCCTCCTTCAGTGGTTTCTACTTACATAGATGAGATTCTCTTTGAAGCGTTTGCGAAGGTTCTCAATGAAAGCGGCCTCGCTCGTGTAGTTCTCCAGCAGGACAAAGTCCTGCACACCCACTCTGTCTCTTGCTGTCAGGGCCGACTCCATCATAGCCCGCACCCCGTCAGTACCCACCACCTATAGGAGGACAGAGAGGGATTAGGCAGGAATCCAATAACCAAAGCTGTGAAACAGATCATCAGTTATGGTACGGCAATTCCATGAGAGGAATGATGAAGATGGACACAATGAATATCAAGCACACTGTATATTTAATCCTTTCATACAACCGATACCATGATAAGCTGTCTGTCCACTGTAGTAACCGCTGTCCCTGAAAGGGTTAAACTATCATTGTTATAAAAAGAAAAAAAAAAAACAGGCTCTCGAACCCTGGCTTTTAGTCCAACACAGCCTACAACACTAATGACTTAATTCAGTCACAAGAATTAGTACCTAGATATTCAATTTCTATTGCTACAGCACAGAGGTAGCATTAACGCTCTAAGACGTGACAACAGGACATAAAATACGGCATATCCAAATGTCAAAAAGGTGACAACCTTTTTGACATTTGGATATGCCGTATTTTATGTCCTGTGTTTCAGCTGTTTCTGAATTTAATTTCAATATGGAAAGAGTCAAATCTAAGATCAGCGCCATTGCTCGAGGTCAAATCCATTCAAAATGTTTTTTTTTCGGTTAGTACTTCCTCTGACGTTTTGGTGAGCAGGCTTTTCAGTCATAGGTTTTGTCGCCAACCCACTTGCAGCAAAATCGACCATTTAGCAAATGAAAATGGAGTACAAATCAAGTTGCAAAATTTTACAGCGAAACACTCACATGTTTAAGGTCATCAGGACGTCTCTCCAAGAGGCCATATTTTAAAATGGAAGCTTTTGTTTTACTCATAATTTGACTAAAGCTGTCGAGATCCATGTTTAGCTTGTAGCCAGGAGGACTAAAGTGAACAGGACGTGTCAGCATACATGCACACATACGAGGTACGGCAGGTGGTGTTGTGCTAAGTGGTACACAGTAGTCGTTGTCCCAAAGGAGCCCACAGACAAGATAAAAAAAGGAAATGCTTGCGGGAGGAGAAACCTTTTTAATTAGAACGGCAGAGTTTAGAATAAGAAGAACAACAAAAGAAAAGGTGGGTGAAGCAGAGAATATAATTGAGAATAACAGGGAGCATTGATGTTTAGCAAGCACTTTCCTCCTCTGAATTGCATCGCGCCTACTTAAGTTTTACACAAATGTACCTTCAGAAGCAGGTTTATTTTTCATTAACAGTTTTTAATTCTGTTTGACTTTTGTTTTTTCCAATTCAGTTAGTTTGAAGAGCTAAAATCAGCTTTTTTTTTTCCTCGAAGTATTTTTGAGTTTTAGTTTTGTTTTCATCAACTTTAGTTTTAATAGTTTTTTTTTAATATCTAGTGTATTTGTCGAGTGCAATATAAGTGTGTACTGTGTGTGTGTGTGTGTGTGTGTATATATATATATATATATATATATATATATAAAAACAATAAACTGTAATTCTCAACCAACCTTGCATCTGCTGTGCGGACGTACAGCAATATTGAAATAAATACATTTAAAATGAACCGTGGAAGCTCATGGATGATATTATATTTACCTTCTCCCCCTTGGCAATATTTTCCGTAAATTTGGTATACATTTTCATTGCTTCGCGGATGACACCCAGCTCTACCTCTCCAGCAAACCCGAC